GGGTGCGGGTGCGTGCGCGGGTGCGGGTGCGGGTGCGTGCGCGTGCGCGTGCGCGTGCGCGTGCGCGTGCGCGTCTGCGTCTGCGTCTGCGTCTGCGTCTGCGTCTCCGTCTGCGTCTGCGTCTGCGTCTGCGTCTGCGTCTGCGTCTGCGTCTGCGTCTGCGTCTGCGTCTGCGTCTGCGTCTGCGTCTGCGTCTGCGTCTGCGTCTGCGTGTGCGTGTGCGTGTGCGTGTGCGTGTGCCTGTGCGTGCGCGTGTGTGCGCGTGTGTGCGCGTGTGTGCGTGTGTGCGCGTGTGTGTGTGCGCGTGTGTGTGTGCGCGTGTGTGCGCGCGTGCGTGCGCGCGTGCGTGCGCGCGTGCGTGCGCGCGTACGTGTGCGCGTACGTGTGCGTGTGAGTGTGCGTGCGCGTGCGCGTGTGCGTGTGCGTGTGCGTGTGCGTGTGCGTGTGCGTGTGCGTGCGCGTGCGCGTGCGCGTGCGCGTGCGCGTGCGCGTGCGCGTGCGCGTGCGCGTGCGTGCGCGTGTGCGCGTGCGTGTGCGTGCGCGTGTGCGTGTGCGTGTGCGTGTGCGTGTGTGTGTGGTGTGATGTGTTCCGTGTTCGGTGTTGTGCGCTGTGCGTTGTGTGTTGTGTGTTGTGGGTTGTGCTGTGTTGTGCTGTGTTGCGCTGTGTTGTGTTGAGCTGTGTTGTATTATATTTGTATTGTATGTTTGTGTGTGTGTGCGTGTGTTACATGTTCATCTTGTAGAATCTACAGAACGGATCGTGTCTGCATACTAGCCAGAAAATTCCCAACACCTTGAATCAAGCCACGACAATGTCGCAATCCAGCTTCTTCTCTCGCGAGTTCAGCGGCCGCGCCCGCACGGCCACCTTCGCGAAACGTAAAACGTGTCTGTAGCGTATCAACAGCTCACCGATTGGTGGCTTGGGGACTTGAACCCCTGGCAAATGAAACCACCACGACCAAACCGCCAATTGGAGGCAAGCTGAACTTGATGCATGCCCCAAACACTCAGTGAGGTGAAGATTACCTCCAGGTCATTCCAGATCAGCTTGCGGGTATGAGCTCCCTCCTTGATGCTCTCCTCGCCAACCGGCATCGCGCTTGTCCCCGCTTTGCGGTTCAAGATGCGGACTCCTCGGATCAAGCAAGGTGGCCTTGCTTTTGTCCCTTACTTGCTGCGAAAGCGGGCATCATCACACCATTGTGCAAGAAAAAGATTAGAGTTAGGCCCAGTTATAGAAATTTTATTGTTTGCTTCACTCTGAGACACTGGTGAAATGTAAAATGTATCCTAAGTCTACACAGGAGAAGGGGGCAAGCCACCAGGCCAACAAATCCAGAAAGAATTGCCTGGCCTAGGGCGCCTGGAGGCAGCGCATGCAGCGCCGCTGCTGCATCTTGGCAAGGCTTTCTCTTGGGCCAACGCTGCGAAGGCCTTCTTCAGCACAAGCTGCGCTGCGGACACACCACAGCTACCCAGGTATGGGTCAACGTTAAACCACCAGGATATGGACCGCAGGCTTTAGTCCTTGGCTCAATCTACCAGGGCAACCCATATTGAGGTTACCAACTATATTTTTGACAACCCGAAAGGGCAGCTGCAGCGCGCGCACGCGTCGCCAGTGCCTGGCTCAGGGCCGTTAAGAGGAAACCCACTGCAGCGACCGTGGCAGCGGCAGCACTTTCCATGCTCTCACCTGCAGCGCCACTCTGCAAGAGCCAAGCACGCAACCCTCCATGAGGTTTCAAGCACCCGGCCCGTGTGGGCATGACCTAGGCTTGCAAATGTCAGAGGGAGAAATGTGTCCTTGCACAGACTGATCACAGTGCTGGTGAGTTCCATGGGTTGCTGGAGCATGTTCTAGACTGCCTCTTCAGGGCACAACTGGGGGTTGATCAATACTCCTAGCCCCCAACCCAAGTGACCATGCATGGCTTTTTCTCCATTGAGTGGTGAAAGAGTATCATATCTTTTTTATGTGGCTTCCCTGCTGGTCATCCAGGACCTTTTGATCGCCCCCAAATTTGCGCTGCTCGGCCCCGTTTTGCCCCGGAACCCTTCGCCAAATCCTCCCTCAGCTCGCGGCTGTGGCGCTGAGGATGCCACAAGGCCTGCAAAAACTATGGCTGATGTCTCGCTGCTCCTTGTGATCTTTTTTGCTTGCGCTCGCTCCAGCTTTGCAGCCAAGGGTTAGTCCAGAAGGAGAATTGGTTGACCCCATACTTTATCGACCAACCAGTTTAGTTTCATAGAAAGGTGCCCAACTGGGTGAAATGTGGATGGAATCAGACCACTCTTGGCGGAGCCAAAAACCACCCTGCTATTTTTAAACTGGAGTTGATAAAATATGGGGTCAACAGGACTGTTGGCTGTCCGTGCTCGGTGCCTCCAGCATGGTTGGCAGCGCAAGGTAATGGACACCATGCCTCGCAATTTACAGTCAGGCCTGTCTCAGATCAAATGACGCCACGCTTGCCTTAACATATCCACAAGGAGCACCAGAGATGTGTAGCATCGGAAGCTGTGAACCTGGGTAGCTTGTCACTGAATGACAGCCTGGGAACCTCTGACAAGTGGGTCTGTCTTGTTTGAAGGCACTTTCCACTTTGGGAGGTCTTCAAAAAATGACAGAGCAAACGCACGCATGGGCCCGCGCCAAGTCAATAGCGCGCAGCAGGCCCCCGCAGCGCCGCACAATCTGCCCCTACCACAAAAGTTGCGATGGGCGCAGCGACGGGAGTGACTGGGGTCCCTGCAAAGCTTGGGAAGATGCTTGGGGAGGACATGACCTTGCGCGCATCCCGTCTTGATGCAATCCCACTCATTGTGACAGGAAAAATGGGTGTGTCTTCTTTTAGTGGACCCCGCCCCCCCCCAAAAAAAAAAAAAGCAGCTTTCCTGTTGGTGTTGCTTGACATTGATGCAAAGAAAGGTACCCCCAATAGACAAACCCCAGCCCCTAGTTGCTCCACCAAGCTGTCGGCACGGCATAGGAACGTCGAGCCATGGGAGGACTCAGCTCTGCTCGCGCATCGTTTTGCACGTGTTTTGCTCGTGGCTCTGCTCGTATCCTGTCCATCCTGTGTCCGGCTGCGCAAACAAGTCCAGATCTTGGTTGCTGTAACAACCCTCTGCAAAAAGGTTTTAACTTTTTGTGGGTTACCTTTTGTGGGTTCAATGGAGAACCAACTTGATGTCAACCAAAACGTTCAAGTCTAAAGATCCAACCCAATAGCAATCAAGAGATTGCCCACTGACTCACACTGCTGCAACTGAAGCCTGGTCCGAGCCCAAGCTACACACGCAGGATACAGGACAGGCTCACAGGCATGACCCTCAGCTGGATGGGGAACTCAAGGCTGCCAAGCCGCAACTGAGACCTTTCTCCTGCCCTCTGCCTAGAGGCTGCATGCCTAACAAGCGCGCAAAGCCTCACAGGCGCGAAGACTTCAAGGACGGCTCCTCGGAGACACGACAGAAGGAAGGGTGTCTGGTTTTAAGGTTGGACCCCTAAAAAAAACGACAACGGCGTCCTTTGGGTTCCCTTTCAGACCCCACCAAAAACAGTACCAGCCTTGTTTTAAGGTTGGACCCCCGAACGGTTTCCCTGTGGTTCCCTTGAAGGCCAACCAAAAAGGGTTTGCACTCAAACATGGGAACACCCGAAGACTTCGCCATGAGCCCCTGGTCCCTCACATTTTGGTGCTCCGACTGGGGGCCCTGCTTGCGACAGCCAAACCTTGAAGCAAACCGGTTGACGTACCCTCCCACCAAATAACATGGAACCTGACAGGGGGTCCTGGAAGCTCAGGTTCCATGTTAGTTAGTCGGAGGGTATCAAACAATTGGCAAAACAACTGCTGCACTCTACTTGACAGCATACCTTCTTTTTCCACTGTCTATCCCAGCACATTTGCTTCGTCTGCGATCGGCTTACTTTGGCCAGGACCACTTGACGTGAGACATTCACCTGTGCAGGGATGAAAAAAAGTACCGTCATCCCTGCCCTAAGCGGCTTCAATTGCCACATTTGTCTTTGCCACATGCAACTGTAGCTTGGCGAATGTTCCAGAAAGGGCATGCGATCTGGAACGAAGATAGTTGCACATGTGGCAAAATGTTCTAGCCACAAGGCCTAGGCGAAAAAGACATTTCAAATGCCATCAACCCCTCGATCAGGCACGCCCTTGGGCCTCGGCTTTGCGGAAACTGACCCAAGGGACAAGCATCCATGAGGAAGCACTTCAGTCCACTGCGAAAAGACAAGAACACAGTGCACCTAATCGTTCAAAGCGTATCTTAAAGGAGCAAACAAAGGATCTCTAGCAGCGCCGGTGCGAAACGCCCAAGGCTCCAACTGCTCGCCACCTCAGCGCACGTAAGTCCATGCCAGCAAGTTTGGATGGACAAGTCAAGTGGAGAAATGTCTTACAGCGTTACAGCTACTCTACACGTGCGCGCGCACCACCCAAGTGCCTGGATTCCCTAGCCCAGCCCATTCCCCCCCTCGGCGCACCTCCCGAAAGGGAACCACTGCTTGAACGGGAGCTGCAATTGGGGCCTTGGCAGTGAGAGAAACGCACGGCTTGACGAGTGGGCAGGGCCAGTGCGCTCTGCAAAAGTGCTGAAGCTGTCCACAAGTCGCTCAAATGCAAACCCCTTTGCCCGCAAATGATTCCCTTCTACCATGCCCGGAAAACCAAACTCCTGGTAGCTGCTGAAGTGCTCTCTCTTTTCAAGCACGTTTGAATGCCCCCAGCTACGAGTGAGGCTCCCAGTGATTTGGAGCGCTTTCAAGAAAGGCCCCCCTGAAGCTTCTGAGATCTGTGGATGGGGTGAGGTGGGGTGGGGTGGGGTGGGGTGGGGTGGGGTGGGGTGGGGTGGGGTGGGGTGGGGTGGGGTGGGGTGGGGTGGGGTGGGGTGGGGTGGGGTGGGGTGGGGTGGGGTGGGGTGGGGTGGGGTGGGGTGGGGTGGGGTGGGGTGGGGTGGGGTGGGGTGGGGTGGGGTGGGGTGGGGTGGGGTGGGGTGGGGTGGGGTGGGGTGGGGTGGGTACCGCTTGTTTTGGTCGGTTTTAAGGGACACCCAAAACAAAACACGCCTTTTGAACCCAAAAAAAATGTGGTTTTCCTCTTGGCTTCCTTTCAAAACCAACCCAAAAGGGGACACCCCAAAAATATTGTTTGAGGGGAAACCAATAGGAGAGCCACAATTTTGGTTGGTTTCCTTAACAAAGCCGAACCTTTTTTTTCTTTTGGGGGGGGGCGAATGGCTTCGGTTTTCCTCGCTTTTGGCTTTCCCTTCAAAACCTACCAAAACCGGGGATACCCCCTGAAACCTCCCTCTTTGTTCAGGTACCCCTTTTCGGGGTGGTTGTAAAGGTAAACCAATAGGACTCATGTTGGGGGTCTTCCCCCCCCCAAAAAAAAAAAAAAAAGCTTTATTGGGGCTTTCCGCCATTCAAAGCAAGTGTTCCAGAGAAACCTACAAAAACAAAACCTAAGCTCCCGACGGGAGCACTGCAGCTCCCCGAGCCGTGCCAAGTTCTCACAGAGCTGCTCGCGCCTCGACCGGCACCGAACGGAAACCAAACGGAAAACCCAAAGGAGAGCAACAAAACATGGGGTCCCTAGTTCTCAAACACCTGGGGGTGTCTTTGTTAAGCTTGGAGCCCTTCATAATGAGTGGTTGTCCTTTTGGCTTTCCCTTTAAAAATATTAAAAGCCCAAAAAGAAAAGCAAACGAAAAGTTGCCCTCACACACACACACACACACGCACGCACGCACGCACGCACGCACGCACGCACGCACGCACGCACGCACGCACGCACGCACGCACGCACGCACGCACGCACGCACGCACGCACGCACGCACGCACGCACGCACGCACGCACGCACGCACGCACGCACGCACGCACGCACGCACGCACGCACGCACGCACGCACGCACGCACGCACGCACGCACGCACGCACGCACGCACGCACGCACGCACGCACGCACGCACGCACGCACGCACGCACGCACGCACGCACGCACGCACGCACGCACGCACGCACGCACGCACGCACGCACGCACGCACGCACGCACGCACGCACGCACGCACGCACGCACGCACGCACGCACGCACGCACGCACGCACGCACGCACGCACGCACGCACGCACGCACGCACGCACGCACGCACGCACGCACGCACGCACGCACGCACGCACGCACGCACGCACGCACGCACGCACGCACGCACGCACGCACGCACGCACGCACGCACGCACGCACGCACGCACGCACGCACGCACGCACGCACGCACGCACGCACGCACGCACGCACGCACGCACACGCACGCACGCACGCACGCACGCACGCACGCACGCACGCACGCACGCACGCACGCACGCACGCACGCACGCACGCACGCACGCACGCACGCACGCACGCACGCACGCACGCACGCACGCACGCACGCACGCACGCACGCACGCACGCACGCACGCACGCACGCACGCACGCACGCACGCACGCACGCACGCACGCACGCACGCACGCACGCACGCACGCACGCACGCACGCACGCACGCACGCACGCACGCACGCACGCACGCGCAAGAAAAAAACACACACAACCCATTTAGTTCCGAAGCGCATCAGCTTGTACGCTGCGGATGCCCGGCCCATCTGTCTGCTAAGCGCCGTCTTCGAGCTGGTACCCGACTTCCAGAAGCCTGGCATCCAAATGGCAAAATCTGCTCGTCTCTGGAAATCATTGGCCCCAGGCCTTCCAAGCCATAAACGCCACTGGAAGCTGCAATCCTTAGATTGGATGTTGCTCAGGCCGCGCATCAGGCAGCGCAACAACATGGAGAGAGGACAAAGTGGGATCCAACCGTGCCGTCCAGCTGCTCTTCTGCGTCCTTTTGGGCATCCTGACAAGCTGGCATTTCAGAGATGGTCACGGCTTACGGCCTTGGCCATCCGTCCATCCGTCCTCCACCAGGCCCACGGCTTGCAGGTGCGCAGTGACCAACGCGGCCGCTCCGGCATTGGCAACCAACGCGCCGCTGCCTGGACGCCACGCCAACTCTTTTTCCCAGCCGCGGCAAGCCACAGCGCTGGGTGCCGGGCTGGGGCCCCAGATCAGCTCCTGCCAGCTGCTGAGGAGTTCCTGCAGCTCCTGGTGCCTGAGCCGGTCCTCGGCTGAAAGGAGCTGACCCGGAAGAGCAGGAAACTGCGAGCTTTGGGCGCCCAACGCTTTCCAAAGCTGCGGATCCAACCTTTCTTTGCTGGCTGCCGAGCCTCCGCGAGTGAGAAAGTACAGTAAGCAGCGAAAGGAATGCCAAGCCCCTGCAAGCCCCTGCCTCTTGCGGCTGTGATGCGCTGCTATGGCACTTGCTGCACGCTCCGCGATCTGCTCCTGCCGGGCCACCGATGCTTTTTCAGCAGAACGATTTGCTTCAACCAGGTTGAAGCCACCCTTGCACCGCGTCCTCCAGCTCTTTGGAGGCGGCCACTGTTCCCTGCAGCACGCGCTGCCTGCAAGCAGCCACCAGCCCAGTTTCCTGGCGCGAAACCATTCGAGCTGCTCCCCTGCTCGCTTTGGCCCGGAAGCCGACGTCGTGCCTGAGAGGACTCGAGTTGCTCCGCCAGTTCTGTAGATACCCGAGCCATGCTGTTCTTCAGCTGCGACTCTCCTGGTGCGGAGCTCGAGTCACACACCTGTCCAAACTTAAGCCTGGCTCTAAGTTACTCACTCAATCAACCAACCAATCAAAACAAATTAAATCAAATGAATCTGTCAGTCAGCCAGCAAAACAGCCAGCCAAACAGTCAGCCACCCAGTCAGCCAGTCAGCCAGTCAACCAATCGCAATCAATGAATCTATATACCCCCCCCAAACAAAAAGATCGCAGAACCTCGTGGAACCCTGGTGGAAACCTGGTGGAACCCTGGTGAAACCCTCGTGGAACCTTGCCTCAGGGCTGCCCCGGACCACCCCGGAGCCTATCTGGGCTGAGACCCCAAAGCTTTCAGCTGTTGGGGAAAACAATCAATCAACCAGTCAACCTCCCGACCACCCGTCCAAGCCCGGACTAGAAGCACTCAGCCCTGTGAGTCCAAGGAGCTGTGGTCAAGCGCCTTGTCAGCAGATTCCACCTCGCAAAGCTCCTCCTGCGAGTGCAGAGGAACACTCAGACTTGCAAACTACGAGGCCTGAGATGACCACCCAAGACCTGTGCTTCGCCGTCTCTTCGATGGATTTTCCTACACTAAAATTGCACCCTAGGGAAATGAATGCAAAAGAGTCCCAAATAAACCAAACTAACCAGGTATTGTCTGGAAATAGGCTGGAATGGGGTGATTTCCCAGAGGGCGTAATCCCAAAGTGTAGCACTCACTCCCTGAGTGGCTGGGCCAACTAAAGTCCAACCTGTTTATTTACCACTAAAAATGCTCTTCCCAAAAAGTCTGAAGTCCGAAACGGAACTCAGGATCCGAGAATAGGAAAACCCTTGGACTCTTTGGCCCGTGCTTCACATCACGGCCTATATTAAGCCGTGTCTCCGTGGCCCGTGCCATGAGTCCTCCACTGCCAGCAGCTGCGCCAGCAACTCCTCGCGGCGCATGCGCAGGTTGTCTGCGCGCACCCTGGTGGTGGCTTGCTCCGCGTGCAGTGCCTGCACGGAGAACAGGGGCGGGGGGGGGATCCGAGTCGAGGGCACCCTTGTGGGCAAAGGGAAGCCAACAGGAAAACCGATGGGTTGGACAATATCTGCTTTGATTTCTAGACGGTCTCGATGCGTATTTTGTGGATTTCACACATGCTCTTCCCCCTGTTGGTTCTTTTCTGGTTACCTTTTAGTACTCTTCTAATGTCCTACGGGGTGGATCCACAAAAGCCACATCCAAACCATTTTCTAGCTGAAAGGGCAACAAGACGAAAAAAGGAGGAAGGTGGAGGAAAGAAGGGCCAAGCCGGTGATAATTAATGCAGCTTCGTTGCCTCTAGTTCAGTTGACATGGCCGCTGTACTGGTCCTGGGATTTCAACATGAAAAGTCGTCTCTTGTGAGAAACTTGCGACAGCGCTTAGCATGAACTAAGCTCTCCGCGAAATCTGGGCCTTGAAGGTCTTGACTTCCTCCTCGCCTTGGACCCCAAAGTCACGAGCATGGCATCTCTTGTGCCTGCTTCTTAGCTGGGCTGTCCGTTTTCTGATCCCCCGCTAAAAGTGACTAACTTGTGCAATAAACGAAAACCCAACCACTACAAGCCTCATTGCTCAGGAACCCCACGGCAGAGGAGCCGAGCCGTTAGTTAGGTGCAATCCGAGGGGCAGTCCCCCGCCACGTTGCCCAAGGCCTCTGCCCTCTCCTCGATCTCGACCCGCCAGGCTGACAAAGTCTCCGCGGCACCGCTTAAGGGTGGCCTCTCTTGACCTCCGGCATCGGCAGGCCGAAAAATGTGGCTCTGGTAGTCGGAACCCGAACCATGCGCAACGGGGTTCCTGTTAGCTTCGCCACTAAAAACAGACAAAAAGGAAAAAAAAACTAACAAAAAAAGAAGAAAGAGTTTGGCCGTGTGGGACATGTGGGACATGTACCATCGCACTGCCAAGTAGCAGCTAACATCGTCTGAATGCCCCTCCGACTCCTTAGCTGCACATCCGCATCCTGCGCCTCTTGGCAGTCTTGGCAGGGACCTGACTGAGATTCACAAATGACATGCCAAGGCTCGCTGTCTGTCTGGCAGCGCACACACAAGGTGCCAATCCCAGCTTTGCTTTCAAAGACCCATCCTTGACCAGACTTCGACCCCCATGCCAAAAAGCAACTGTTTACTGGCTGAAGGAAACCCAAAAAAGGCAAAAGTTAATAAGGTCAGCTTAGTCTGGTGAAGGCATCCTCGACCATCCGCCAGCTTCAGGAAAAGGGTGCCATCCGAGCCCTCAAAAGTCTCGGACACCTTGAAGACTTCTCCGCTAATGAGCCTCTCGTTGGTCCTAGGAGCGTCTCTCTTTCTGTTGAGGGCACCCCGTTGGTCGGTTTTGAGGTGAAACCACGCCCAATACCCGCTTTTTTGCTTCCACAAAAAAAACAGATTTATCATGGAACGCCGGGTTTTCAAATACCGCAATTTGGAGTAGGGGTATCAGGGGCTGTTTGGTTCCATGGTTCTCTTGGGGAAGCTTCCCAGTCCCCGCGCCTATGCCCGGAGACTGAAGGCACCGATCGGATGTCAATATGACAGCCATCCTCTGGTACGTAGCGCCAGGTCTGCTCTTCGTGCTCGCCGCACATGGTGCTGTCCCAATCCAGGTGGAAGTCCAGCTGCTTTCCTGCGCAATTGAAACGAGGCATTGGGGCACTTCGAGGGTCAAGCGGAGGATGTCTCTCCAGCCTGGCCTATGTGCCGCAAATGCTGGAAGTTCCGGCTGTGAGCCTCCACCTTGTGGAGACTTTGGTTCCAAAAGCCCTCGTTTGGCGCCTGCCAGGGCTCACTCACGCACAGGCGTCCATCCAGCCCACGGAATGAGTCATCAAAAGCCGGTATTCAAATGGTCGCAATCCCGGAGCCATGTAAAGAATTTTCTCAGGCGGAATCTCGCCCAGTTGTGGCAAGGGGAGTGTCCCTTACTATCCGGATCTCCTACCCTGGTTTTGAGGACCTGGCTCAAATGCGCCCGACGCCCAGCGCCTGAGAGAGCACAGCCGGCAAGGGTCGGCGGATGCTGGCGTCGACCCTCATCACTGAGGAACTGCTCAGCTCGTTGAAGAGCTCGCTGTCCTCGCCCAGCTCAGCCTGAAGCTCAGCTTCAGCATTCGCCGGTTCTAATATTGTTAGGTTCCCGTTTGGGAAAAACTAGCTGGCTGGGGGCGCCCGTCTCTCATGCCAAGCTGCATATTCGTTGTTTTCATCTCCCGGAGGGCGAGCACACCAAGTCACCCGTACCCTGTCTCGAGGTGCAAAGCCACGTACTTGGGCCCGATACCATTGACCGTCCACGGGCCAGCAAGCCCAAACATCACCACCTGGCAGGGCGGGCGCTGCGCGGCTGCGCGCTGCCCTGTGCCAGTGGTGCAAAAGATACAACCTAAAAGCCATGCCCCGTCTGCAAGAATGAAGTGTCTGTCCATTCTCCGGAGTCTGTGGGAAGGTCGAAATTGCACGCCTATGTCTGGCCGGCCGCCGCCCGCAAAGGGGGCTGCTTTGCTAGATGCAGCCACGTGCTGCGGAGTGCTCGAACTGCTTTCGCTCACTTCAGACGCCTCCGCGAGAGTTGGCAACTGACCCCGGCTCTCGCACTTCTCACGCCTCTCACCACTCTCACCCAGGGTTCCGCATTGCTTGACCGAGGCAGATTGAAACCATTGGTTGGTTTCCCCGAAACCGGAACCTTGCAGGTTTAAGTCTACCTTCCTTTAAAAAATGGTTGAAAAAAATCTACAAGTCGACCTTGGAGTGGTTCCATTCCCCAAAAAATGGAACCGCCCTGGTTTAAGCCTACCTTCCTTTAACAAAAGTGGTTTAAGCAACTTTACAAATTGACCTTGGAAAAGTGGAACCCCCCTTGGGTTGGAAAAAAATGCGGAGCCCCGCTCACAGCTCGCTGACTCGACTCGACCGCTGGACCGGACCGCGCCTTGGCAAAGTTCTCCAAGGCGCTGAGAAGCGCCTTCTCGAGGCGCTGGGAGGCCAAGGCATCGGCCTCTCCTTTCCTCGGTCCACGCCATGCGACTCGCGCGACCACGCCAGGCGCTGAGGGGGTCGGAAAAAATGCACACAAGAATGAACTTTTTTTTGGCTTCCTTCTCTCAAACTGCTAAAAGCAAAAAGGTGCCCTCGGAAGAAAAAAGGACCTACTTTGTGGTTTACAAGAACGGGTTCAAAACCACCGATCCAAACCACCAAGGGGGTATCTAAAGGTTGGTTTGTCAGCCAAGCGACTCGGCCAAGGTGGCAAGGATCAGGTTTACCACCCAAGCAACATCCTGCATCACTCACTCCGAGCGCAAGAACAAACTCCTTGCTTGCCCAACACTCTTCCGCCCTATCTCATCATGGCGCTCACCGTGGACAACAACTACAAAAAAGGAGTCCAAAGCCCTCTGGCCAAGCTGATTCGTCCTGTCCTCCTCCAACAAAAAACGGTCCACACACCCTGGCCAAAGCTGTCCTCCTCTGCAGGGTTCTTTTCTTCCGCCAGCGCACCTCCGCATCTGTCCGCAGCCTCGGCGGCCTCTGCCAGCAAGGCCAGGAGCTGCGCAATGAGCGCCTTCCGGGCACCGAGGCGAAGCGCACTGCAGGCCATGCGAAACGAAAACGGAAACGGACGTCCGATCCGCCGGAGTGGACCCTGCATGCTTGAGCGTCTTTCTGCATTTGCAGCGAAGGGGACCCTGCATGTTTGAGCGTGGTCCTGTTGGTATTTTGCAGTGAAGGCAAAATGACCATGCCCCAGCCTCTGGAGCTTCGGACGCTCTAAGCATCAGGCGTGCGAGCTGCTCCCCCACAGCAGCTTCAGACAAGTCCGGCTTTTGCTCCGGGCCCTGCGCATGCAAGCAGTCAGTTCCACGTTTCCCTTGGCACTGAGTACAGCTGGTGTCAGCCAATGTGGGCCGACAGGTTGCTTCTTGCCTACCGTCCAAGCGCACAACCCGGACCTTGCCATCCAACTCCTTCTGGGATCGGATGGATGCGCACTCAGCCGCCACAGCAGCGGCACGGCCCAAGAGCGGTCGCCGCCGCCGGCCTGGCCACCAGGCATGCGACGCGCAAGGAGCAAGCGAAACGGGTTTATTAAAATAGGGAACACACCAAAATTGTGGTTTTTTTTCCCCCCTGTTGGCGTTCCTTCAACACCACAAAGAAAGGGGTCACCTCCAAGAAGGACACGCCCAGCAGGCAAAACGCCTGCGGCCAACGTGCGTAGCGCCACGGGCAGGCACTCCGTGTGGATCAACCCACGCAGACCCGGAGCCGCCAAGCGATGGCCCTCACTGTCCTCGCGACTTTACCCGTGCTGCACAAATCCGAACGCACGGCTTCTTAGGGTACCCACCAAAAAATGTGTGTTCAAGGGAAACCAAAAGGAAACAAGCCATTTGGGGAGCTCTCCTATTAACATTTCTCGCCAAGTGCGTGGAAGTCTCAAAATCGCCCTGCAGCCGCTGGTTCCAAAGGGACAGGGTCTGGGCAGCCGCGGCTACTTGCGCAGCCTCACTGCGGACATCCGGCTCAGCGAAGCCTCGGTACGTCCGGGACAACACAGGGGGAACAGGCGCGCCGAGTTGGGGGTTTCACTTTTTGGATTCCAAGGCCCAGGGGTTCCATTTCGGGAACCCCTGCGTTTGAGCCTTCTTTGAGTCGGCCAAAAAGTCGAAACCTGCGAATGCTCGGGTTCAGAAGCTTAGGCCATCACTTCCTAAGGACTCCAACTCGCTGGTGTACAGACTCACTAAGTCGCTGCGCTGCAAGTCTGCTGCTGCCTGAGCCAGACATTGCCGGATCTTGCTGAACATGATTTACGTGTGGGGCCAACACGGGCGAATTGAAAGATTTGACAAGGTCCAGTTTGTTTGTCCCTCTGTCAAGGGGGCCGTGCCACAGCTATCTGTTGCCCTTCTTAGAATCTTTGAAAACGGCGGTTCCCCTTTGCGCTGCTCATTTATCATTGCGACCTGATCTCGCCCACAGAGGCCACAAATCCTTGGCGTCCGTTTCAAGAGTGTGCAGCCATCTTCTGAAATGGGCCGAGATGCGCGTTGCCCGGACCATCCGACTGCCGCAGCAAAGCCCCGGACGCTTTGCAGGCCTGCCAGGCCGATGCTTGCCACACCGGGGAAGTTGCAGGGCAGGGCTATGGCAATTATGTCTGTGCAAAATGCACGCCTTTGTAGGGCGAGCAGCAAAACCTGCAACCCTTGGCATGCTAGCATAGAACTGACTCGTTTTTGCAGCCCCCTACTAAAAAGAACAGAACTGACAGAACCCATGAACCAGAAAAACCAACAACTTGAGCCAAGAACAGAAATGGGCGGACTCTCCGCGCTGCGGCCCGGACCCCGGACCGCGCCTTCGTCGGCCTCACTTGCCAGGCGCTGCACGGACTGCTGCACCGAATGCTGCACCTGCTCATGCACTCTCAAGCCCAAACCGCCGCCTTGCACCCACCTTGAGGCGTCCAATCAGCGCCAAAATCGTCACCCGCACTGTATAGGGTTATCCGGTGGTGGGCAAGCTAAACAAGGCAACTCGATTTAATAAGGCTGTGGCTGAAAAACTGGAGACCAACATTGGACCTTGCTAAAAGCAACAACTCAAAACCTGCGGGTTCTTTGCCCCAGCTCCTTCATTTTGCGCCGACCAGAATCAGCATGTCTTGGCTTGCGAGCCCACAGAAAACTCCCCCGCCTGCTCAGCGGCACTCTCCGTGGCTCGAAGCACCTTCTGGCCCTGCTGTAACAGGCTGCCCAAGCCTAAAGGCAAGCGAGCCTGCTTCAACCAACTGGACTTCACACAGAGGAAAAACAAAAACAGCACATGGGTGTGTGTGTGTGCGTGCGCGAGTTTTTTTGAGGTTCCCCGTTTTCTGGTGGTTCTAAAGGGAAACCAAAAGGAAAACCGCCATTTTTGGCCCCCTCAAAAAGGACGCGCCCAAATCATTTTGCAGGCCCAGTTGCCCACATCATCTGAGATAAACTTGTCGTCAACTTTGCCGCCCGCTAGCTGTTCAAACTGCCGGCGTAACTCCTGTACAACTGTCATGTTCTTATAAACAACTGCCCTCATGAGTTGGCAGCACGATGGCCAGGCTACATAACAAAAGACTAAAAGCATGCATGGGGCGTCCTCTGCAGAGGACGTGAACCAAGATGTCATCAAGCCACTAGCAGCAGGGGTAGCCGCAAGGCTTCCTAATACTACCACTTCATGCCTGTAACTAGGGCCTGAGCCACACCAGCAGTCAGGCAGGGATTTTTATGGCTGCTATCCAAAACGCCACCTTGATGAATGAAAAGGCTGGTTTGCCCCTCGCTCTTTCATTTTGAGCAGGCCCTTTTGCAAGAAATCTGCCTGCGGCTTTGTAGCACGCGTTCTCCGAGACCGTGGCCGAGTCATCGCCTTGCCGCGCGCGACCTTCGCGTTGCAGGAAGTCCAGCACGTGCTGCGCACGGGGCTTGCCGAGTGGGCAGCGGAGTGCTGAAGGTTTGTTGGGTGTTTTAGTTGAGGGTACCCTAAAACGGCGAGCGTCCAATAGGTGTTCCTGTCAAGCCAGCCAAAAAGGTACCCTCCAAAAAGACACACCTTTGACAGGTTACGCGGGGCATGGAACAAAGCTGCCTCAGAGCCAGCACTTGCAGCTACCTTTTCCTTTCCACATGCTCAGGGAGCTCACGACGGCCACCGGTCACACGTCAATGCTCGCAAACTCCTTGTGGCGTGCCCGCCATGTTCCTGTGTCTTCCCAGCCAGTAGGTCCGCCATGAGCTCGACCAGCAGGTCCAGCCCCAACCTCATGACTAGACCACCGCTGCGGATGGGGATCCTTTCCCTGGCCCAGGGATCACGGCACTTCACTGCACTTTTGCCTTTTTCTTTCCTGTCTTCGTCTCCGTCTTGGCAGCCTTTTTGACTTTCCGCGCCCTCGGCAGAAGGTCAGCTGCGCCAACTGGCGATGTCTTCACCTTCTTCTCCGCGTTGCAGCCGACTGCACGTTCCATGGATGGGCTTTGCCCTGCAGGCTTGTCATTCCCTGGGAATCCAGCCTGCGGCAGTGGACACAATTGCTGCCAACAAGCGGGGGCCAGCGGAAAAGACGAGGGAAAAGAGGCGAAGAACAGGCCAAAGAGCTCCGAGCGAAGAGAACAATGTGAGACGAAGACGGTGAGGAGAGCCAAGAGAAGGGCCAAAGAGCGGCAAGACCTGGGTGTTCCCAAGAAGCAAAGGGAGAAAAACGGAGCGGCATAAAGAGATGCGAAAAGAGAACAGGGCAGAGACAACAGACAGAGCGGAGAGCACAAAGAGCAGGAGAAGAATGGGGACAAGAGCCGGAACATCAACGAGAAGTGGCGGGGCTTCACCTAAAGCAAGGTTTCAAGATCAGAATGTGACGTGCAACCGGCAACCAAGCCCCTGCCTTCTTCTTCTTGCCAGCTGGTAGGGAATTCCCACGCCCCCTCGCTCGCAGCGGGCGAGCTTCCTCCGAGCCAAGCTGAATTTGGGGGCCACAGGACTTCGACTCAGTCTTGGGCTCAAGTAGATGTAGATGTGTCAAGTTTAGATCTTAGAAGCCTCGAGACGCCCGCCTCGGAGTCAGATTCAGCGCAGCCGCGTCCGCGGCCACCCCCGCGGCCCCGACCTCGACGGAGGTCCCGCCGCTTCTTGATGGTGCCAGCGTGGCGCTTGCCATTCACAATCTCCAGTCGCGGCCTTGAGCAAAGAACATCCGGCACGGCGCCAGAGGCAACCTGGTTAGGCTAAGCTGCAACGTGGCCAGGACGTCTTGGATTTCCTGTGGCATTTCGCCTTCTCCTCGGGGGGAGGGGGGGGGGGAAGCCAAACGCAGAAACAACCCAGCGCCTGAATGGCAAAACCTACCCGTGCAAGGCTAAAAATAAAGAAGCAGTCCTGATGCAGGATTCCCCCTGACGTTCACATTCAAGAGCCACAGCAATCCTGCGACCGAGGTCAGCCCTCCCATCATGACAGGCTGGAATGAACGATTCACAACCTGTGGTTTGCCATGCAGCGTATTCCAATGAGAGCAACCTACAAAGCACCATGCCATCCCGTCGGCCAGTGTCCTTTTAGAGCCTCGAAGGCTGCCGGTTGATTGATGAGATTCTTCCCAACATCCAGGGTGGTCAAATGCGGCAACACAGTGACCTCAGCGCACCAAGGTCAGAACTACTTGGTTTAAAAAAAAAAACTATCAAAAATAAGTACCAAAATGGGACCCTGGTAAATGGAACAAAGGAGTAAAACCTGCAGTCCCCTGGTGGTTTGATTGTGACCCATACCCACATCGAAACGCTGAACCTCGTGCTCTGGCCAAGGCACTAAGTGAGGAATCGTAGTGATTTGATTGCCATTGAGCCGCAGCTCGGATAGCAGCGGCAACTTCTTGAGCTTTGGAAAAGCGCGGAGGTGGTTGTGACCCAGCGACAGCTTCTTCAAGTGCTTGAAGCCTGGCGAGACACCCAAACAAGTCATGCAAGCTATACATCGGTTGTGCCATCAACAGGCGTTGCAAAGAAAAAAAGCGGCCTGCCAAAGAAACGTCGGAGAGCTTGTTGTTTGACAAAACCAAGGTCTCCAGGAGCGGGTTGCTCTTTACGCTGATCCCGGCCAAAAGAGTGATGTTGTTCCGCGCTGCGATGAGTGCCTTCAAGCCCTGCAAGCCCTGCAGGCCATCCAGCCTCAGCTGCACGATGCTCCAAATTCAGCCGGTGTGAAGACAATTGCATGCCATCATGCAACCCAGGAAGCCGTGCAACCCTGTTGTCGCTAAGGTCCAGAACTGCCAGAGAACTCAGATTCTGTAGGTGAGTGATCCTGCGTAGCCGATTTTTGGCCAATCCAAGCCAGCACAGGCTGTGGTTCATCTCCAGGAAGCCTAGGGCAACAAAACAAACGGCGTCCGAATCAACGAAAACGAAGCGCCATGGACGCTCAGCGGCCCAAGGAGGCGATCTTGTTTCCCTTCAGCTCCAGCTTCTTCAAGTTCTTGAAGGGCTCCAGGCTGTCCAGGGTGGTATAGCCCCTGTCCTGGAGCATCAGCTCCTCAGCCCAAGGAAAACCAATAGGATCCCATTTTGGGAGTAGGTAAATTCACCACCCAGTTTAGGACCTATTTTGGTGCATCACCCAGTTTAGAACCTATTTCAGTGGTTAAATTGGCTGATGTCCACTGGGGTACGATTTGGATGTTGACCCATGGCCACTTCTGGCTGACCGGAAGCTGTCAAGAGCCCGCAACTCACCGGGGCACGGCGGCAAACTCCGCATCGCCGTGGGGTACTTCTGTCAGCCTGGCAGGATGCGAGAGCCGGGGTCGGCAAAGAACAAGTCCATGAAAGAACCTCTGTCGAGTGATTGCCAGGGCACGCGTCCGTGAACCGCAAACGCTTCGCCTGGAGGAAACATGCCCAACGCCAGCGAAATACTTGAAACTTCAAGAACCAAACGCCGCCGCCAAGCACAAACAGTTTCAATGTCAGGCCTGCACATCGTCACCATCAGAGTCTGATTCCATGACGATCTTTGGATGGAGGTGTGCACCAAAACGAGTGCACTTCAAGCTTAAGCCGAAAGTTGGAACCCTGTTTGCTAATATAGCTGGGGAAAACATAATTTCCACCCTGCCAGCACATCTGCGATGACCTCTCTTTCACCACACGAGGCACAGTGCCGTGCAGTCTAGAAGGACCTTGAGCTTCGGCCACAGGGGCCCAGCTGCACCCACTCGGCGCCAAGAGCCATCCAGACGCGCCTCCAAATTTAAAAGGGAGGCGGGAGGTATTGACGCAACAAAGAGTTGCAGCGCTGCCTGAGCAGAACGGGACAATAACAAAACGCCTCAGGGCCAACAAAAGTCATTAAGTAGGTGCTTCCTTCTTGTCACGCTGCCAAGGCTGCTGAAAGGATTTGGGCAAAGGATGGACTCGCTTCGCTCGGCAGCACGCAACCAAAAGAGTTGAAAAGCTTGCTCGCGCAAGCAGGGCGCAAACTAAGGGGAGCATTCATGCTGCGACGCACAAGTGTGTTCCAAGTCGCGGAAGAATGAATACTCCCAGCAGCTTGCACAGTCGGATGCGATGCGTGCCATTTCTGTCACTGAATGTGCCAAGAAAACGGCACCACATCACAGCTCGTGCCCTAGGAAGGAGGCTAGCAGTTTCAAGGTCTTCATTCGGACTTGTTTCGGGAATCTCTTCAGCCGATTCACAACCTCGGATTCGCAGCGCGACCGTTAACCCAGGTGCAAACAGTGCACCTATTTGAAATGCAAGTACTGAGAAACTCCGTCAGCAGTCAGCGACACCCACCCCCTGCCGCCAGGGGACGTCTTTCCCAAGAGGCCGCTCGGTGGGAGCAAATCGAAGGCATTCCTGAAGGACAGGACTCAGCACTTCCATCGAAGCGCGGGGGGGTGCTGCCGACCAATGTTCAAGCCCCACCAAAAAGGAAGGCCAGCGGGTGCAACCGGACTGCAAGACTGGTCCCCTGGGGAAAAAACCTGCTTCGTGAGAAAAACAACTTGGTGAGGCTTTGGCAAATGCTCGAGGTCTAAGCAACCATGCAATGAATCGATTCCCATGTAAATACCAACTAACGTTTGGTGTTATTCCCACGGTTTCATTTCGTGTTGATTTCGCAACCATCCACTGTGGCTCCCCCGCCCCGGCCTTTATGATCCTCCCAACCTCCCGAGGAAGTTCCGGCAGCTGGGTCATGTCTGGCGTCCACCCAGCCCAGCCTGCCACACAGGGCAGGCACTCGCCTTACCCTCCCCCTTGCTGCCCGTCAAGTGACAAGTGAGTCTAACTGTAACTTGGCTCAGCGACGCAGGCGCACCTACCGAAGCCAGAACCTGCCCAAAGCTCATGTCCTTGTGAGGAAGCTTTTGTGTTAGCATCTCCTCAGCACAAATATCCAGAGAACCCAGGATTAACATTTGAAAGTGGAAGGCTTGCAGCAAAGCATGCTGTTCAACCTGCCACTACCATGTGTTGCAAACGGTCACGCGGTAAAAATGCTAGCATGCATGCAAACCCTGCCTAGATTTTCTCCCCTTGCCCATTTCTTCAGCAGTTGGGGGGAGAAGAAAAATAAGAGCCTCACGTACAACGAATCATATCCTTAGGTTGCCCCGCAGCCACTTGCAGGCAAGTGTCCCACATCATCACCTGACCGCTCCCAGAAATACCCCGCAAGGGACAAAGCTTGAGACAAAGGACGCGTGCTCGAGAAACGAGCAGCCACAACTTGCTGGTGCTCAGCAGGCAATGAGGGAGTGACCCCTATAAACCATCCAACTGGCGGTTTACTTTAGGGGGACCACTGGAATCATTTCCACATTCCCTAGCCATCGCACCAGCAAGTAAAGCTTTCAAGCCAGGCCACCCCGAAGGAGTAGATGTCCTGAGCGCTGATTTTTCAGCGCTGCCAGCATTTACCGTTTCCCCGCCCCCACATCACGGGACTAGAGACCTGGATTCCCAATGATAAGCCCATGGTTTATAATGTGTTTCCCATGGCTTACCCTGGTTTCTAGAGACCTGGATTTCCCATGATGAGCCCATGGTTTTTAATGCGTTTCCCACGCTTTACCCTGCTTTCTCACGGCTTACCATGGGAAATCTAGCCGCCCCCCCAAAAAAAAGGCCGGGTCGCTGCTGCAGGGCTCAGCGCTTCCCCGCGCAACACCTCCGGAGCTGCCCAGTGCGGGGTGCCGCAGCGATGGTGCGGGGACGGGTGGCAGCGCACCTCAGCCACGGCGCCAAAGGCTTTCTGGTTGCAACGGCCGGACGCCCATGAAGCCCATGAAAGCTTGCACAAATGGCAGGAGGTGCGCTGTTGTTGTTGTTTTTTTAGTTTAGCACAGTCAATCAAGGCAATCTTGTGCAAATGCCAAACCCAAAAAAAAGCAATCACTCAGACAGCGGGGTCGTCAATCTGTGCTTTGCGGCGACATGGTTCTGCCTGACAGTTGCTGCAGAGGCACGGCCGCATGGCCAAAGTCACAAATGCGCGGGATCGGATTCCGCGACGACCTCAGACAGGTGAGTGAGTTTATCTCTCACACACACAGAGAAGCCCGCCACATGACCAAGTGCCCAACGAAGTGTAATCGATTAAAATATTGGATGACTTCAAGTCAGCATGGACCAGATTCTTCTGGTGGATGTAGCAAATTCCTGCACGGAAGACGGCGCTAACAAAAGCTTGGAAGCTGAAAATTCGGGAAGGTCGCATGGAGACAGTGCTTGACGGTTCGGGAGAAAAGTCTGACAGGTACACTGCAGTCCTGAGATGATGCCAGTCCTAGGCCATGGAAATGCACGGGCCGTTGCAGTGCAGACCGACTGAGCAAACCACCAAGAAATTTGGGTGTTGTCAATAGTTGGCAACCCCAAAATGGGTTGCCCTGAATGGAAACAAGGACCAGCCCCCTGGTGTAATTCTCACCGTGATTTGCTAGTGCAGCCTCAGCTTCCCCAGGCTGAGGGACAGTGAAACCGTCAGCTCCCCATGCCAGCGCAGCTTGTAAGGCCTCCGGCCCCGAGAAATCGAGCCAAGCCCAGGCCCGGAGCGGCCGTTGCAGCCGGGATGCTGGTGAATCATGTCGAAGAGTGAGCCTGGGAAGTCATGAAAATGGAACTCCAAGCTGAGGGCATGGCAGAATCATCACATCCTCTGCTTCTTGCCCAGATAAATTCAAGCCTGGCGGCAATCCATAAGCTCCGAAATGATGAAATGCTTCCTCAGCTTCGGCAGCACTGGAATGCGCGGAAAAACCAGCTTGATTTCTCGGTGAGTTTGATGCTTGGCACGTACCAGCTTGATGCAGCCCACTTGTGTGCGAGATGTTTGTTTAACCATAGGTCTGCGTGGTGAGACCCGTTGCAATCGCCATCTGTTGGATATGTTGTCTTGTGTATATATATATATATGTATAAATATCCGTCCATCCATCCATCCATCCATCCATCCATCCATCCATCCATCCATCCATCCATCCATCCATCCATCCATCCATCCATCCATCTATTTACCTATCTATCTGCTACAGTCAGTATATGCGCGTCATATGGTTGATCTTCCCACCCTTTTGCGGTGGTTTTGTGCACATCGTGCCCGCGACGATCAAAACAAAATAGTTGCCATGGGTTGGTAGTCAACTACTGCTACGCTCTGCAATGCTATTTCAAGGACTTGCGCTGACATGCGAGTGATATATGTCAGATAGCCGTCTGGCAGTTGCAGTTTGTACGATTTCATTCGCTGCCTTCATTCTTTGCATCGGGCGAAAGTAGGGAGAGGGCCGTGAGAGGGATCTACGCCCCCGTCAGGCAGCAGTTCTTGCAATGTGGACAAACCATGAACAAGCCTAGGATGCTGGCAAATTGTTAGTCGATTGTGATTGTTGTCTTCCGAGCCTGATGGGGCTGCGTGTTGCTCGCCGCTTGATCGCCCTTGTGCATCAAATGTCGTGAAGCAGCAAAAAGACCAACCATGCACTTCTGCAAACACAACGGAGCGGCCAGAACTGCCAAACGTCATGCGTGAACCTGCGTTCCAAATTTATGTCTGAGAGTCCGCTGCACAGTGTCGGTGCAAACGCCCACGAAAGTGCAAATGTTCGGGTGGCTCAAAGACGCCATCACCTGGGCAAAGCTGAAGTCTAGAAAACGGCTTGGATGCGCTTTTTGTGGATTTCTCAAATGCTCTTCCCCCTGCAGGTTCTTTTTTGTACTCTTTGGTGCTCTTTTGACATCCTACCGGGTTGGATCCACAAAAACTGCATCCAAACCGTTTCCTGGATGAAGGTATCCGAAGGTTCGTTACAGCAAAGTTCCCAAAGGCTGGGGCAACGGCGCACGCTTCTTTCAGAAGTTCGTAGAGCTGAACTCTGCGCTCACCCTTCATGTCCTTGCAGTCTGTCTTGTGCTTGCGATCGGTGCGATAGGGAATGAAAACGAGTTTCCGGGTGTTGGTGGGACGAACCTTTGTTTTTTTCGGGATTCTCGAACAAAGGAAACCATAGGATGGCTTTTTTGGGGGGTCATTGAGTCATTCCAACTCATTCCCTGAGGACCGGCAAGCTTTACTCGGAGCGCAACATCCGTCCTTCACTGCCACCAAGTGGGTCCGTCGAGCTTGAAAGGTGCCTCCAGCACGGTCCACTTTTGGCTCCTCACAGCGCGAGCCGAGTGAAAGCCGTGAGGGTCGATGTGAGTCAGAATCAAATCCGCCCAGAACCACGCAAAATTGAAAAGCCCGGATATCCGCGCCCATTTGCGGCTGGCCCCGTACCCTCCAATCAATCGTTGTTGTTGGTGTTGTTGTTTTTTTTTTTCCTCCTTTTGTTGACTCATATGATAGCAACACAACGGCGATTTCTTTTTGAGATTAGGCGCTAGGACACCACGGTAGACCGTGCCGTACCCGCCCTGCGAGATCTTTGAAACCAACGTGAGCTCTTCCTTCCTGGCAAGCGCTGAAAACTGCTCAAGATTGCCTCGCCGCATCTGGGGATGGCACGGGATGATGAAATGGCTCAGAACTGAATCGCCTTGGGCAGTGCGCGCAATAGAACACGGGGCCCTCCCCCAGGCGATTCCAGGGAAACTTCAGGACCCCGAAATGCAAGACTTGGTTCCATTTACAGAGGCCTGGGAGCTTCCATGGTCTGGAGTATAGAAATGAAGTCAAGCAAGTTCTGAGCGCAAAGTGCGCCAAGCGGCTGAGGATATCCATGCCCTTGTGGCCGCAGACGTTGTTTTCCCAACGAGCTGCATCGAGCAAACCTTGAAGATTCCGGTAAGCAACTAGAAGCACGCTTGAAAGAACATACCCTGCGTATAGTACATACCGTAGAATAACTAGATAACTGAATTGCTGTCAAAACGAATGCGCGCATACGTGCCAACATTACATACATCATATTGCATTCATGCATGCACATACATTGCATTCAGTACATGCATTGCATGCATTGCGTACATTGCATGCATGACATACATTACCTACATTGCGTACATTAAAACCAGTACATCCGATGCATACATTGCGCACCTTCCACACATTACATACATACATGCGCTACATACATTACATGCATCACATACGATTGATACATTACACGCGGTACCTACGTTCCACGCATTACATACGTTGAACTAAACTACAATACAGCCAAACAAACTTAGCATTCACATTGCAGTGCACTACGTTACATTCCAATACGTGCATATATACATACAACACATTACATTGCGCTACATTACGTTGCATTACATTCCATTACATCTGACTTCAACGCATTGTATGCATACATAGATATGTACATACATACATACATACATACATACATACATAATCATACATACATACGTGCATGCATACATACACACATACATTACATTACATTACATTACATTACATTACATTACATTACATTACAGTACAGTACAGTACCGTACAGTACAGTACAGAACAGTACAATACATAACATTACATTACATACATTCATACATACATTACATACATACATACATACATACATACATGCATACATGCATGCATGCATACATACATACATACATAAATACATACATACATACATACATTACATACATTACATACATACATTACATACAGTACATACATACATACATACATACATACATACATACATACATACGTACGTACATACATACATACATACATTACATACATTACATACATACATACATACATACATACATTACATTACATTACCTTACATTACATTACATTACATTACATTACATTACATTACATTACATTACATTACATACATACATACATTTCATGCATTACATACATACATACATACATACATACATACATACATACATACATACACATACATACATACATACATATACATACATACATACATACATACATTACATTACATACATACATACATTACATACATACATACATACATACATACATACATTACATACATTACATACATACATACATACATACATTACATATAATTACATTACATTACATTACATACATACATTACATACATTACATACATTACATACATACATTACATACAGTACATACATACATACATACATACATACATACATACATACATACATACATACATTACATACATTACATACATACATACATACATACATTACATTACATTACACATTACATTACATTACATTACATTACATTACATACATACATACATACATACATACATACATACATACATACATACATACATACATTACATACATACATACATACATTACATACATACATTGCATACATACATACATACATACATACATACATACATACATACATTACATACATTACATACATACATACATACATACATACATACAGACATACATACATACATACGTTACATACATACATACATACATACATTACATACATACATACATACATACATTTCATACATACATGCATACATACATACATACATCACATACATTACATTACATACATATACATACATTTCACATACATATACATACATACATTACATTACATTACATTACATTACATTCATACATACATTACATACATACATTACATACATTACATATATTACATACATATACATTACATACATTACATACATTACATACATTACATACATACATACATACATACATACATTACATTACATACATACATACATACATACATTACATACATACATACATACATACATACATACATACATACATACATACATACATTACATACATACATACATACACATACATACATACATACATACATACATACATACATACATACATATACATACATACATACATTACATTACATTACATTACATATTCATACATACATTACATACATACATACATACATACATACATACATTACATACATTACATTACATACATACATACATACATACATACATACATACATACATACATACATACATACATACATACATACATACATACATACGTTACATACATACATTACATACATACATACATTACATACATACATACATACATTTCATACATACATGCATACATACATACATACATCACATTACATTACATTACATAAATACATGCATGCATACATTACATACATACATGCATACATACAATACATTACATTACATTACATTACATTCCATTCATACATGCATTACATATACATACACATACATACATTACATACATACGTACATACAAGCATACATACATAAACACATACATACATGCATGCATACCTACATACATACATACATACATGTATTACATACATACATACATACATTTCATGCATTACATACATTGCATACATTACATGCATTACATTACATTACATTACATTACATACATTACATTACAATAATTACATACATTACATACATTACATGCATTACATACATTACATTACATACATTACATACATTACATTACATTACATTAATACATACATACATACATACATACATACATACATACATACATACATACATTACATTACATTACATTACATTACATTACATACATACATACATACATACATACATACATACATACATACATACATACATACATACATACATACATACATTACATTACACATACATTACATTACATACATACATACATACATACATACATACATACATACATACATACATACATACATACATACATACATACATACATACATACATTACATACATTACATACATTACATTACATTACATACATACATATTACATACATACATACATACATACATTACATACATACATTACATACATACATACATACATACATACATACATACATACATACATACATACATACATACATACATACATACATACATACATACATACATACATACATACATACATACATACATACATACACATACATACATACATACATACATACATACATACATTACATACATACATACATACACATTACATACATACATACATTACATACATACATACATACATACATACATACATACATACATACATACATACATACATACATACATACATACATACATACATACATACATACATACATACATACATACATACATACATACATACATACATACATACATACATACATACATACATACATACATACATACATACATACATACATACATACATTACATTACATTACATTACATTACATTACATTACATTACATTACATACATACATTACATACATACATACATACATTACATACATTACATACATTACATACATACATACATACATACATACATACATACATACATACATTACATTACATTACATTACATTACATTACATTACATTACATTACATTACATTACATTACATTACATTACATACATACATACATACATACATACATACATACATACATACATACATACATACATACATACATACATACATACATACATACATACATACATACATACATACATACATACATACATACATACATACATACATACATACATACATACATACATACATACATACATACATACATACATACATACATACATACATACATACATACATACATACATACATACATACATACATACATACATACATACATACATTACATACATTACATACATACATACATACATACATACATACATACATACATACATACATACATTACATACATACATACATACATACATACATACATACATATACATACATACATACATATACATACATACATACATACATACATACATACATACATACATACATACATACATACATACATACATACATACATACATACATTACATTACATTACATTACATTACATTACATTACATTACATACATACATTACATTACATACATACATACATACATACATACATACATACATACATACATACATACATACATACATACATACATACATACATACATACATACATACATACATACATTACACACATACATACATACATATATACAATACATACGTACATACATACATACGTACATACCGTTACATTACATTGCATTTCATTTCATTGCGTTACGCACAGGACACCCATACATACCCAAAAACCACACAGCCACATACCCACACACACACACACCTACATACCTACATACCGCATACCTACATACCTACATACCTACATACCATGCCATACCAGACCATAACATGACAGCATGCACACATACACAAAGACATACATGCATGACGGACATTAAATCACATTGCACTGCGTGGCATTGCACTACATTGCATTACATGCATTCCATCCATCTGTACGTATGTAGGCAAGTGTGCACGTACATACATTCGTGCGCCAGTGCATGCGTACAGACATACATATCAGACAGACAGACAGACAGACAGACAGACAGACAGACAGACAGACAGACAGACAGACAGACAGACAGACAGACAGACTGACTCCAGTACATTGCATTACATTGCATTACATTGCATTCATTCCAACACACATCTTCTTGTATGTTCTTGGTACAATGCCTTACTTTGTTCATCATTTTACATTACACTACATTATGCACTAAAGTTGTGCATTTCAATGACATACTTGCATACGCACATACATACACACAAACGCACACCACACCGTGGCGTAACACAACATACAATAGCATAAGCTGCCGTACTATCCCATCATACCAGTACAACATTGTAAGGTACGACGATGCAGGGCAACGAAATGTGTACATACAAAAGCGGAATAGTGGCAAATTCAAGCTGAGGGCAACATGTTGGGGCATCCTGCACTGTCCCAATACGCCCACAAACAGCATTGCTGTTGCTATCTCGGTTCTGATATAGCCAAGTCTCGCTTGAGAGCATGCCTGACTACCAGGCGCTCAACTGGAGTGACGAGCCCCAGAGCTTTGCGCAGTTGGCCATTGGACATGCTCAGAAACCTGCGGCTGGTCACAAGAAGCATAGCATTTGATTTGACAATCTGCCGTTCATGAATGGGCCATGCTTGGCAAGGACAAGTGCAAAATCTAAGCTACACTTGCCAAGGCGCTGTGAGGCACCTTTGATCTGCTGACGCATTACGCGATGGCATACTTCAGAGCTCAGACCGAGGCAGGACATAAACCTAAGGCGGCTGCAACTGCCACTTGCCTGCCGCAAGCTGTCGAAGCAATAGCTGAGACGGTAGCGCAGCAAGCTCATCCTGAGCAAGTGGGCATCCCTACTGCGTCACCGTCCCTACCCCTGGCGAAAAAGCATTGGTCCTCCGTCCATAGAAGAGGAGACTTCCGGATTTGCTGCGGTCTCTTTGTCTTTGTCGTTGAGGAGTCCTGCAATCCATCAACTGCCTGCAAGTCTTGCGATCAAGAGCTGTCCAAGCATACTAGCTAAGAATATATCTTGTCAGCTCTCCTGAGGCGTAAGAAGAACATGGCCTGCAGAGCCCGCCATGCCTCGCAACCGCGAGCCAATACCAAATGTGGATCCAAAAATAGCACAAGCCTATTTGTCAAGCCATGAAATTCCATAGTGCATGAATGCAGGCCATGTTCGTTCACAAGCAATCTGGACCAACCACGGCAACACTGCTTCACATACAGCACAGCAGTCCTGCTGTGTGCAAATCTCCAGCTTTACTTCCCTGGCGAGTCAATCGTTGCACCACGCCGTTGTCAAGGTCGCCTTGGCTGCATGAGAACTGGTGAGCCCAGCGGCTATGTCCCGACCCATGGCAGTTGGCCGCAAGCTGGTTGCGCGAATGAATACACTGCACCCCAAGTTGCGCTGACTGCACTCCTCTGGAATAGGGCGGCGCTCCAACCGAGACTCCTGGGAAGATGCGTTCCGCAAGTACCAGCATCGACTGGGTGGGACTTTTATTCGCTCGAGCTAGGTCCTGTGGCGAGATGAAATCGTTCTCCTCATGCATTGCAAACACGAAGCTTCCATGTCCAGTGCCTCGGGCGAAGACTGAAGAAGACTATCACATGCAGACTGGTAATCATCTGTCGAAGTGTGTGGAACTGGGGCTGGAGCCATCAGCCGCATCCGAAGAGCAAAGGCGACGACCTCACTCGAGATGAGTGCTGAGCCTTTCTGGAGATCTAGGACTTCATCTACGATGTGTGTGTGGCTCAAAATTAAAGAGATTTAAAGAGTCGGGGCAATCCGCAGGTTTTTGTCTTTGTTTCCATTTACCAAGGGCCCATTTTGGGCATGTCCCTCTCCGCCAACCGGTAGTGCTAGCTGGGGCGCTTTCGCTGGAGCTTCTTCTGTCTGAACCTGCCGGTCCAGTCACGCCATATTGCATCGGCGTCGTCTGACCTAAGCGGCGCCGGCTGAACCGTTGCAAGCAGACCCATTGCAAGCCGGGCCCATAGAAGTGCCGGGGCTGGAGATTCGCTGGCCCATGAAGCTGCCACCACAAAAGCTGGCCTTGGACGCCCCTTTCGGTGCGGCGCGCACAAAGAATGCTTCGGTGCGAACCCGCAGTTCGCACTGGCCAAGTCCGCCTTGAAAAACATATCTTCTTGCGGCAGTGGCACGGCTCCTGCTTGAAGCGCTGGCGTGGCTGGCGTGCCAAAATCATTGTTGGACCTCTCACGCCCACTGAAAGGCTGGCCAAATTATCCTCACACCCTTTCACGGGTCCTGGAGAACAATTTTCCGTTTAATGGGACCACCCCTGTCAGGTTTCAGGTTGATTGGTGGGAGGGCAACTGGAGTTTTGCGAACAGGTTGTAGCAAAGCTACAGCTCAAGCATAATCGCGTAGGTCCCAGGCCCGTTGCGAGGAATGAGAAGAGGTGTGCTTCGCTTGGCACTTGCAGTCGATGTGCTTCCCTCGGCTGCCATCCGTGGTGCCAAGTCCAACAGCATGCCCTGGTTCTTAGAGGCAAGCAAGCATTGCTCGCTACGAAAAACCAAGGATCCCTTCAAAACCAAGGCAAAAGCACCAGCAACTGAAGTGGCGCCGTCCATGCAAACTTGTCACTGCGGCAAACGTCATGCAAAAGCGCAAACACTCACAGACCCCCACCCCTTAATTTGGTGCCATCCTAGATGAGTTGAGCATCTCTTTAGGGAGTGCACCCTTTTTCGTGAGGACTTGTTGCTTGACGGACAGTGCAAGCTGCCCACAAAGAGCAAGCGCCTCACTTACCACTGCTGCCTAACCATGCACATGGCTGTGGGTCAAAAATTGGGTAACCCCAAAATGGAACCCTGGTACATAGAAACATTGCCAAAAACCTGTGATCCCCTGGTGATTAAATCTTGACCCATACTCACATGATACAATCCTCTTCACCCTGCCGCAAGACCGCAACTCCGGTCATTGCCGCCTCCGTTTTGCCAGCAGAACCTCCCAATGTCTGGATGTGTCTGTGTCGCGGTGCGACACTGGCGTGCCCGTAAGTACGGCACGCAGTTCCATGCCAACGAATGCTAAGCATCCCCTCGCCTTTCCGGAGCTTGGTGTCAGAAAAGAAAGGCCTGAAAGAGGGCAAAAATTGCAACATGCGAGCTGGTCAGGTGCCAGCCTTTGGATATTGATCTTAAATCTGCCTTGGAGAAAGCTTGCAAAATCCCCACTCAAGGCCAAGCTGTCATCATAAATGGCTTTGAAGGCTTTCCGAACCTCAAGTGGTGTTCTGCAAGCGCTATGCGCAGGCATAAATTCAGGCTATGAATGAGGGAGTCAGTCTAGTCAGTCTGCCTGGCCAAAAACGCACGCTGCCTCGCGCAGTGACTTGCTGGCGGGCGGTGTTGCCCTCTCAGCCTCGTTCAGGGAATCGAAGGAAACGCGGGAAAGGGCGCTGGAGGCGTAGGTGGAAGCGGTCAGCCGAGACATCCGCGAGATGTCGCGCTTGGGGTTGTCATCCTCCTGGGCTTCCGGATCTGGATGAGAGGCCATGGGCTCGATGGATCGCGCCGCAGCACTTCCACTCCCCAAGTTGCCAAAGAAGTAGGAGTAGCTGCCAGCCACAACCACGGCGCCGGCAAAGAAGTTGCCCAGGGTGGTGGGGAGCAAGTTTTTCAGCAGGATGTCCCAGAAAGACATGTCCCCAACCTCGACAGTCATCCCAAGCAGGTAGAAGTTCGCTGGAGCGTGCTCAAATCCCAGCATGACAAAGGTGGAAATGGGAAGGTAAATGGCCACAACCTTCCCAAACATATCTTGAGCTTGCCCAGCCAGCAGCACTGCCATGCTGACCATCCAGTTGCAGCCGATACCCTTCGCAAAGGTGACATCAAACCTTTTGCTGATCTTCCCCTCCGCGATGGACAGGAAGCTTTGTTGGGTGTTCTCATCCAGCAAGTCGCACCAGAGGATGAAGCCTGCAAAGAAGAATGATCCCAGCAGATTGGCCACCCAGGATATGGCCAAGCACCGCAAGACCTGGGGGTTGATCAATCTTCCATTTAGGCCTCAGCCCCCAGCTTTGACCATGGGTTAACTTTTGCCATGTGGTGAAAGCCGTCTTTTTCGGTGGTTATCCCGTTATCCCCAATGGCCACCCCACGTGTACCGGACCTTCTGATCACCCCCCCCCACCTCCAGGAGGGAGGCCTTCTTCTCCAAGAAGGCGGCGGGACAGGCGCAGGCAGCTCCGGTGAAGAGGACCCCTCCCGTGAGCGTGATGAGCACCAAGTTCACCGGGAACAAATAGGCGAAGATCAACTTCTTCAACCCTGGATTCTCCTGGGTCTGTCTTTGTTTGGAGTGTTTGGAGTTGGACTGTGCGAGGGTACTGTACCCGTTGTTTGTTTGTTTGATTGTTGTTGTCGTCGTCGTCGTCGTCGTCGCCGTCGCCGTCGCCGTCGCGACGTCGCCGTCGTGGTCGTTGTTGGTGATGTTTTTTGATTTACTTGTTACTATTTGTTTGGGGTGCATACGGAAAACGAAAAGGCCAACCCACCAAGGGTCCACAAATCCCCTCCCAAAAATAACCAGCGACTTGGCAATTTTCTCCTCGGTGATGCCCGGCATGGCGGCGGAGATCGCCACAGCCAGCTGCGCCCCAAAGCCAATGTAGCACCCGGAAATGAAGCACTGACCGAAGAACTTCAGGGACGGCTCTTGCACCATCACACCTTGGGTCTGCCTCCTTAAAAACAAATACATATATATATATAAAAGAAGAAAAAAATGGACCCGCCAAACAGGCGCGACGGTGTTTCGTTTCCCTGTTGGTGCCCATGTGAAAGCAAGCCAAGAAGCGAGTACCAACGGTTCCAACTCCAAGAAAAGACAGTCTGGAAATTGGGCCTGTGAAGAAGCCAAAGGATTCAAATCCATCAGCTTGTCTCTCTGTTTTGAGGAGGATCCCTGTCACAACACTTCCCCGGCATCCCCCTTGTTTGGTGGTCTGAAAGGGAAACCACAATTTTGGGGATTCCAAAAATAAAAGAGAAGCAACACCGCCATTGTGGGGAGCAGATTCTGCCCGGCTTTTTCGGGGCCTTTTTTTGGTCCACAGAACTCGTATCGAGTGGCGGCCCTTCTCTGCCAGGGCAAGGTAGGCCTCCTTCGGGGTCTTCACCAAGGTCATGTCCGTGGCACCCATGGCGAATGACAGACTCCGCTGAAAATCCAAGCCCAAATGACTGACGAATCACGCAAGGTGACCAGGTTGCTGACTCCCATTGTTCGGGCGCGTACAAATCCCCAAACCCCCTATTAGTACAGCGCCCTATGAAGAAATGTCGCTTTTATGCTGGTCAAGGGATGGGTACATTTGCTTCCGGGGGAGCCATCTGACCCTAACTACCCTATAATAAACAACGCTTGGCCCCCAGAGAATACATACACATGCATATATATATATATATATCGTACGTATAAACAGCCGGGGGAGGAGGGGCCGAATTCACCATTAGGGAAAAGAGATAAGAAAGATCTTAGACAATATGCAGAGAAGCTGAACTCGAGAGATGCCCGAAACTCGTGGGTCCGCTTTTGAGAATTTGGACCACTGCAGGCCAAGCATCGCTCTCGTTCTCATTAGAGCTGGGAGCAGGTGCCTGCGAAGGTCCCCAGGATAATTTCGGCTGAGAAGCAACTCGGCTACAATCGAAGCGGCAGAACTCCGATTGATTGGCAAGCATTCCAATCGATCAAGGTTGTTGGGACATCCTTAAAAGCACAGTTCGCAACGAGGTCACCATGACAACTTGTCTGTTGAGTGACATTGCCGTGAATGGCCTGACGATAATATTGAACATTCGTGTGCCACAATGTTTGTCAAAAAAATCCGCCGGTTGGGGGACATACCTCAGACCACCCAGGACTGAGTTTGCCGTGATGTTCTCTGCAACCGCACTTGATTCGTATTTCTGTTAGGCCTTGAACAGGGGTCCTTGGAAGTCCTCTTCAAAAGCTGAAAGTGACCGCCACTTTTTGGAGGTTCCAAAAAGGGAAATGGAGGCAGTTCCAATGGGGGTCTGTTTTGAGGGGTACCCCTTTTTGTGGCGCTATCTAAAGGGAAACCCCAAAGGCAACCAACCATTTTTGGGGGTCCAAATCCGATATATATATATATATATATACAAAATTGAAGAAGAAACAAATAGGGGAAGAGAAAGAAAAAGAAAACAAAAAAAACGAGCCACCCCACTGGGCACAGCTTCAAAGGGCCCAGCTGGCCTCGAAGGAGATGTCCGTCAGCGAGGCACGGGCAGCGGCTCCCGCGGACTGGCCGAAGTGAAAGGTCGCGCTCGCGTTGCCTGGGCCGGGCCCCCTCTGATACGTTGGCGGGTTGAAGAACAGCAGATATATGATATATGGCTCAAAATCCAAATCGAGCCCCCAGTGAACATCCCAATCCCCACTAACATAGTCTAAAATGGGTGGTACACCTGCCAAAAATGATACCATTGGTTGTGAACCACAGCCATATGGGGTGTGGCTCAAAAAATTGGAATCCCTCCAGAATGGGTTGCTCTAAATGGAGAAGTATCACAAGAGAGAGTTCAATCTGCAACACGTGGCCTGGAGACTGGCGGGCCGCAGTCATTTGACATCTGTCGCAAGCACTGGTTGCCGGCAAGACTCTTTCTTTCAACGCAGCCATCCTTAGATCGAAAGCTCACAAGCAATTGTCAAATTCCTGTCACACCCGGCCGAGGTGCAGAGCAGCCTCGTCACTCATGTTCGGGGAAGTCCTGAGGGACAGGAAGAATATCACACCATCGTCAGAAAGCGTGGGCCACTGCTTGTGCATGTAAGGGCGAGGCTTTCTTTGCAAATCATCTTCTTTGTAGAGCTCCTGACCCGCTAATCAGGTCCACGAATAGTGAATTGTGGCTATGTGGAGGAGTCTTCGCATCCTAACCTTAGCAGCCTCCAAATGCATCTGCACATGAATCAACCAGGCCAAGACGCATCCAACTCGCGCTCCAATGCTTCCAGGAATGGGGTAGGACCTTGAACAAACACGACACACAGCCCGGCACAAGCAAACCTCATGGGCTCAAGAGGTTTTCTCTGGTCAAGCAGCGAGAATTTGCATCCATGACTTCAACACCGGAGCTAGAGCCCATCTTGGCCAAGTTCATGCGCACACCCCGGCCAGCACCTGCGAGCAATGGCTCTTGCGGGTATCTTGTGGGCACGCGTTACGCAACTTCGTGCAAACATTGTGGCTGCTACTCATGTCATGTGACTCTTCGATTCTGGCCAAGGCACGCTGTCCGTTGGTGAAGTTGCCAAAGTAAGACCTTGTTTCCGACCAAGTTCCAAGAATCAATGCCGCTTACAAAGCAGTGCTGCCAGGCTAAGGTGAAAATGTTATTTCACAAATCGACAGTCGAAAAGTTTATCCAATCTTTGCTAGAGAAAAACCTGCGCGACCTAGCTGTCCACATTTGGCTGGCCGAGATTCGAAAAGCGGAAAAGTCAGGCTGAAACCCGAAAATACAATTATATAAACTATATATATGTCGAAACGTCCGGACCGAAATCTGACGAGTCCGGACAAAGATCGAAAAGTTAAAGAGTCGAGGGGCACTTCGTAGCATTCAACAAGCATGCAAATATATATATATATATATATTGTTTGTAAAGAACATACTGAACAGTCATACCTTTCTGTTTTTAAGGAAAACTCTGAACGTATAATTTCTTTTGCTCAAGGTGAAGGAAGTAATTTTCAATTGTTTTCAGAAAATTCAAAATTCGGAAGCTATGTTTTGCAAGCAAATAAGCGGCTAAAGATGCAGAATTGTCTACTTCCAGAACCTCCGCCAAAGGCCACATCTTTATTCCGCGCAGCGAAGCCTAAGTTTCCTCTTGAGGAAGCCTTCATCGTGGGACACCTCGTCCAAGGCGGTGTGGGGATCGGGGATCGGTAAAATCCCAATGTTGTTTTGTCGTGGTTTTTGGCAAGCTAATAGAAACCCAAATGTTCGCATGGAGTACTTTAAACAAATGGAGCAAGACAAAACAAAAACAAAAAAAGAAAGAAAAAAAACAATCCCGTCGCCATTGCCCCACGAATCCAGGCCTAACTGGTTCCGACACCAATTCCCATGCGCACATCGGGGCCCCTCCCATCGGCAACTGGGCCCAATGGATCTATTCACCTGTATAGTAGGCAGCCAAGGGCTTGTCACTCGATGTACAAATCGAAAGGAAAATAGACCGAAGGGGTACCTACTGTATGGGCAAAATGCAACTGGGATCCACTGGGTATTATTGAAATAAGCACGCATAAGGTGCTCAATGAGCCCATGTGAATCTCCAACTAGTGCATGTCAAGGGGCGGAGGTAGGTTTGGACTCTAATGTGACGAAATCAGAACCCAAATGCAACGAAGTAGCTTTAAATCGAAAACTCAAAAAGTCGGGGGCGAAATCCGAAAACTGGAAAAGTCAAGGCCGAAATCAAAAAACAAGTCGAAAAGTCGGGTAGAAATCCGAAACGGCGATGATGTGTTTTTCAAGAAGTCGAAAAGTCAAAAGTCGAAAAGTCACGTCGACATCCGAAAAGTGGGAAAGTCAGCAGTGTCAAATCTGACAAGTCAAAAAAGTCGGGTGACATCCGAAAAGTTGAAAACTGTTCGACTTCTTGACTTGTTGACTGCTGGAATTCGAAAAATGGATTTTCGCCTTTAGCTGACAGGTACTGTCCACATAGCCAGGATCACGAACAGCAGAACCGCATTACAAGTGGAAATCCAAAACGAGGACTGCCGAAAATGGAAAAGTGGCGCCCAGTAAAAACTGACCAAATTGTTTGCCCAGCCTAAGACATGCTTCGGCAACTGTTGCAAATCTTGAGCCGCAGGCCTTTGGGGCTGGTCTGTTCTTTTCTTGCTGCCTTCTTCTCCATGTATGTGAAAAGAGTTTGGCCCGACCTCTTACCCCTGGTACACCTCCAGTGCTCAGTTCAGCTTGGAACAGCATTCAAGGATACTGATACTGAAATGCAGGAAGTCTGGTTGGCTTTGATGCCAAATCTCGCATGTTCAGAAAACCAAGGCTTGAAACATAGCGTTGTTTAATCTCGTCTGGCTTACGTCGTTTGTTCACATGGCCCACAGCCAAATGAGCCGGTCCAACCAACCTCTAAAAATCGCATTCCGAAATCTTGAGTGGCTAAGGTCAAGTTGGATTGGGTCAAACCCTGGCAATCCGGGGGAGGAAAAAAAAAGTCCAAGAAGACAAAGGCTCCGCATGGCGAGACCTTGAGCTGAGCAACACTAGATCAGCTTCCTCTGCACCAAGGCCATGCTGTTGATCCTGCCGAGCCAAGCGGATTGGCTCCCAGACCCCACTTGTGGCGGTTTGTTTTGTTTTGCCCTCGTCGGAACACTGGTCAAGGCCAGCTTGGAACAGGCAAAATGGACCGAAAAGGCGCTTGTTTCCATTTGGTGACGGTTTACAAGCCCGAAAGCGCCTCCAGCCAAAGCCCTTCGTAGCGGTAGGTGGGCATGCCCTCAGCATGCACATCATGCAGTCAACTTGGAAGACCAAAAGACGCGGCAGTGGCGATCTTGCAGCTTAGCTGCGGCCGGCTCCTGGCATCCCAAAATTGACATCTCTCAAGACATATATCCGAGGTCCGAGGCAAGCCAAGCGCAATGATAGGCTGACTGCGAAACTCCTTCCAAACGGAATCCCGGCCCCCCATTGGCCCCCATGCAGCGTCCTGCGTGGCGTTGTCCAGCAGCACTCCCAACCCATGCTTCTGATTATTTGTCCACTGTCCAACCTCACATTGCGAAATGGAAGTGTTGACTCGCCCCAACCTGCTTTTCCGATCCCTAGGATCAAAAAAAAATGCGTCCCCTTTTTCTTAGGAGTTGGACCCCTCAAAAAATGGGTGGAGGGGGGCCTTTTGGCTTCCCGTTTAAAACCAACTAAGGGGGCACGCTCAAAAAAACTGGTTATGACAGCCCACACATGCTGCCAGGAATCGTAAACACCGCCATTGCGGTAGAAAAGAACGCCGTACCCATGCTTTTTGTCCTGTTCAGTTCAGGGCTGACCTGCATCCTAAACTGGGAGAGCATGACACACACATGGAAGCCACAATGTTGCAAGAACCCCGCGAATGTCCTCCTGCCATTGCCCGTGGTATCTTGGCTCAAATGCGGCAAGAGCATGCAACTGAATCTGTGACATTGAAGCCAAAGTGCTCAGTAGAAGTTCTGTGGCATGTGCCGTCCAATTCTACATCATGCATGTCAATGAAAATCGTGTGCCTCAACCTCCGGCTGCCTGCAGCTGAGAATCTGTTTGTACACATCATGCGTGCCGCTGGAGTACACCTAATAGCGCCGGCACCCATTCCGGGCGCAAGAGGTGCAACTATCAGCGGCTAGCAAACCCCTCAAGGCAAGTATATTGGCCAAAGCGTCGTAGGTGCCGATGCCATGCCGCCGCTCCCCTTCCGGAAACTGCTTGCAGTTGCCTGTGTACACCTGCCAGAGCGCAGTTGGGAAGCTTCCATATGGCACATGCCGCAACACGGACGTGGCATCTTCAAACCCAGCAGGGCATACATCCCCGTTGACGAATTGCACTGACCTCGTGGGCTCGCAAGTGGTCCACACGGACATCCACAAACAAACATACATGCGCACACCCAAAAGCCCGCATGCACAATTAAAAGCTTCATCGAGGCGCATCCTCCGCACAACTCCTCGAGGAGAGTTCTGCTTCTGCCTAAGCGCACGAATCAGCCACCACGCTGCTCGTTCACGCGGAAACCAGGCAATATGCATAGTGCCTTGAGTGAACAGTGTGAAACATAGCGATACATTTGCTTTTAAAAAAAGCCCAGTGCCCAAGTGGAAAGCTGGTGAAACATAGCGATGCATATGCCGTCTCATATGCCCAAAAAAAATCCCCCAGTGCAGCGCAAGTGGAAAAATGGTGAAGCATAGCGCTACATAGTGCCCAACAAAAAACATTCCCCAGGACGCGCCCTCCTTCTTTTCTCTGCGCGACTTGCTCACTCGTCCTCCTCCTCTTCGCCTTTGCTTCTTGCCTTCTCTCGCGCGCTGCGGAGCTCCCGCAGCCGGCCCGCCAGAAGCCCTGAGTCTCACCCGCTCAAACCAACCCATGTTTGTTGGGGGCCTCTCACGCGTAAAGATGTCATCTTCACGCTGGCCACAAATCAGCTGTAGGCCAAATCCACACTAAATCCCAAGTATATACTAGAAGCCTGGGAGAAATAGGAAATAGGGAGAATGGTTGAATTTGCTGTTGCCCTCTAAATGCCCGGATCACTCATTATAGGCGGCGCTTGCCACATGTCCTTGGAATTATCTGCAAAAACAAAACCTGCAGTCCATTTCGGGCCATGCTGCCCCGGTTGAGTGAAGATTGGAAGATGTCACCGGCACGCATCGCTGCAATAGGCTCAAGGCGGAGCTTAGAACATGCAACGCACCACACCGGATCTTTGGCATGTCATTTGATTTCATGCGTGGTCTGTTCCTTCGAAGCGTGTGCACAGGTGTTGCATTGGCTTGGCTACTTTAAGATGTTGCTTGCCTCAGCGGGGAACCCCCGATTGTGTCGCGTGATCCCGAAAAATTGCAAAGCCGAGCGGCTGGTCTGTTCTTCTGGACGGCCATTCAGACGTCTGAAGCGAACATCTTTGGTTGCCAGTCTTTGCAGGAGCCTGTCAAAGCTGTCGCCGCCTGTAGGCTCCACATCTTCGCCTGCATCGCGCAACAACCTCCAACCTTCTTCTCTTCCGAAACTGCCCACGCGGCCCCTCAACCCCGACGTACACCCCAATCCGAGTGGCAGCCACGCAAGTGCTCGCATGTGCGGAGCCACTTCTGGCAATCCTCCACCGCAAGGTCGTAAGCCCTGACTCGCCATTCTACCCAGGCGGCCTTCAGCACATCCTGCAATGAACGCCCAAAATCAAATCTGCTTCCCTCTGAGTGGTGGTTTGGAGGTTCAAACCCCAGCTCCTTTTGAAGCCAATTGGGGAAGGTACCCCGAACGTCCCAAATTACCGAACAGAACCACCAATTCGGGTAAGGCGACAAAAGCATACCAAAGATAACAACAACAAAAAATACAGTTTTGCCACCAGCAGGGCAACTGCATGGATGATTTCAACCCTCTCCTCTGGCATTCCATGGAAGGCTCTGGCAGTTGCCGCGCTCGTGTTGGCATCAAAGGCTCTTCGCACTACATCCTGCCACAGATTGTGGCACACGCAGTTGCAAGACAGCGTGGCAATCTGGGTGTGCTTTTTTTTTTAATAAGGGAACACCCACAATGGTGGGTTTTCCTTGTGGCTTCCCTTTGAACCAAGCCCAAAAAACAAAAGAAGAAAAAAAACGATCAGTCCTCAAACTCCAATTCCGGTCCAATTGCTTCGAAGCCAGCTGAATCGAGGATGCACAGCCATGCCTGTGAGCCCCGAACCCCCCGCACCAATGATGCCTTCACCGGAAGGGTGCACAACACGCATGGGTGCCCTTTGGGGCACCCTCTCTGAGGTTGGGCTAAAGGGAAACCGAAGGAAAACCTCTCATTTAAGGCGGTGCACGGGGAAGAAAAAAAAGAGACACCCAAATCTTGCCGCGGTCACTCTGATCTAGTTGCCAAGGCCCAAGCCCGAACAAGGCAAGTGAGATCCTGACAAAGAACCCATTTTTGGGCCCACCTCACGGCGGGCTTCAATGGCTCTCCGCTGGAATTCCTGCCACATCTGCGCCAAGTCTTCATCCTTCAGTGCGAAGGTCTCGTGGAGTTTCAGGTCCACCAACTCCGGCTTAGCCTACAAAGCACGGGAAACCTTGCAACAGAGCCATGCACCCCAGAAACATCCAGAAATCAGAAACCTCCGGGAACGCCAACACCCGCCTCCTCCCAGGTCATGCTGAACGGGTTCCGCATCCGTTCCGCCAGAAGGCTGAAAAGCTTGTCCTCGGTCTCCGTGAGCTTCCGCCTCTTTCTGGCCTCGTCCATCTCCAGCTGGACCTCTCGCTGCTTGGCCCGCTGCCTTCGCTTGGCTTCCTCCAGCTCGCGCGCGGCGCGGTTGTAGATGTTCTCCCGCTCCGCCGAGGCCAGGCACGAGCCACCCAGCTCTTTGCGGATCCTGAGCCCAGCCGGGTTGGTCGAGCTTAAAGGAATCCCCTTCCCAACACAACAGGTGAAAAGCGGGAAGCTTTTTGAAACAAAAAGCCAAAAAAAAAGAGGCCGCCACTCAACTGGGGATCTTGGAGAAGGGCGGGAAGCTGTCGCGGCCCTTCAAGGCCGAAAGCACCTGCTGGCGGAATGCGATTCGCGCCTCCTCCTTCGCCTTCTCCGCTTTTCTGGTCGCCTCCTCCAGGGCCTCGGAGATCATCCGCAGCTTCTCCTTCTCCTCCACGGCGTCCCAGCGCTCGTCCCCGCCGCAATGCCGCTCCATGGCCAGCAGCGCCTTCTCGGCGGTGCGGCCCTCAGGCTTGGAAATCTAGACGAGCCTCTTACTTCAGCCTTCCTCAAAGGCAACAACAGTCAAAAAAATAACCACGGATTTCTATACAAGGGATCCTCTGACCAGCTGGTGAAGGTGATTTTGCAAACAGGCCAAATGTATGAATCCCTTCTCTCTCTTTCTCTCTCCCTGTTTTGCGGAAAGTCTCGCCTGCCCCCTCCTTGGCAAGTATCGACCCCTCGGGTTTCCGCCGGACGGAAGCCCTGCCTCGAGCAAGTCCATTTCTTCGGCCTTGGTCAAGAGCGCCCTGAAGGCCTCCCGGCCCTTCACCTTGCTGGCCACCTGGCTGTGGGTCAAAGGAATGTACCAAAATGGCACCTTGGTAAATGGAAACAAAGACTAAAACCTGCGTAACCCCAGGTGTTTGATTTTGAGCCGCACCCACCTGGGTCTTCCGCTTCTCGCTATCGATGCGTTTCGCCAGCATCTCGAAGAGGAGCTTCCTCTCCTTCTGCCCCGTGACGGCCAGGAACCGGGGATCATGCATGAGCTTAGGTAGCCACTTCTCGTACTTGTCGAACGCCTTAACACCCTTCTCCAGCAGCAACTGCTTGAAGTTTCGAAGCTTCTCCTTCTCCCTTGCAATGTACTGCTCCTTCTCAACCTGCTGGGCACGCTTTTCTGCGCGCTCCGCTTTGCTCAACTTCGGGGCTTCATCCTGCGCGTCATCTTTGGGCATGTCACCTGCCGGACGCTCGGGATCTCCTTCCTTGCCCTCTTCTGGTTCTTCTTTTTGTGGCTCCTCAGGTGCCAAACACCCATCCAGCTCAGCAACATCTCTTTCAATCTCAGTCGGGCATGTCCAAGATGTTTTCTTCTGCTTCTTGTGGTAAAAATACGTAAAGCCTTTGTCTGTCTGAACTCGTGTCCATCCAGTGCGGCCAATGGTCTCCCACGTCTCAGGCTCGCCGATCCGATCCTTCATGGTGTTGCCCTGTGCTTGCGCTGGCGCGGCAGGCGCGGCAGGCGCAGCAGGCGCAGCCGGCGCCGGCTCAGCCGGTGCGTCTGGCTCGGCTTTTGGCGTCTCCAGAGACGCACCAGGTGGCACGATGACATCCTCCGGTCCACAGGGCCGAACCCATCTTGACTCCCCAGTCTTCCGACAGAAGTAGTACTCGAGGCCCTGCGGGGACTTATGAGCCTCCCACTCCACCCGGGCCGCACCTGCCCGTGCCATGGCTGCATCAACCGCAGCCAGAAGTTCCGCTGGCGGCTCGCCCGGTGGCTTGGGCAATGCCAGCGGGAGCCCGGTGAGCAGAGGCGGAAACATGGGAAGGAAAGATTGAACCGGGGGCATCTTGACACCAATGGCGCCGCCCGGAACCACTTCAAACTGTGGGGGCGGAATAACCTTGGCCATCACATCCGGTGGCCCCGGAGGCCCCGGAGGCCCCAGTGGCCCCGGTGGCCCCGGTGGCCCCGGTGGCCCCGGTGGCCCCGGTGGCCCCTTGGGCGGCGGGGCCTTTACCGGCAGATTCTGGCAGCACGGTGCAGGGGGCTGAGCCTGAGGAGGACAGCTTGCAGGCAAGGAAGGCAAGGCTTCCGCTATCAACAAGCTTGCAGCCTTTGATGAGCCACATGGAGGAGCCTTCACCAAAGCACCTGTTTTGCACGTAGCCACGGAGGCTGCTTTGGAGGTGTTGCATGGCCCTAGTTCCATGGTCGCAGTTTTTGCACAAAAGGCGACTCTGATGTAAGATTATGCCAGTGAAATGGCCAAGGGTGAGAAGCATACAAAACAATTATCTATCGGTGCAAATTGCTCTCTTCCTGGTCATGGTGAAGTGTGGCTTGATCAGCTTAACTGCAAAGTTGGATGCGCGTGGCAGGCATCAGCCCCAACCAAAAGCTTATTGCATGATGGCTCTGGGTTCCTGAGCCGAGCGATGCACGAGCGAGGTCACATGCACAACTCAAGCATCTCATGAAGATCTGATAATGCTTGTCTCGTATATGTCGGCTGGCAAATGAGTCATAGTCAAAACCTGGCACTAAAATGGCACACCCAGAAGTATGTAAAGAATTAACAAGACGCCGCTACATTGTTGGTTGGCATTATCCCTTACTGACCTTCGGGCTTGAAAGTGTGGCTCAAACGTGCTTGAGTCAAACCTTGGAAGCCTGAGCCTCCTGCGAAGCGTCCTGCGCCAGAGCAGAACGCGAGCAAACCGACCACTAGCGAATGAATCCTACAGCTAAATTGCATGAACTGAATCCATGGTAGCACTGCGCTGATGTCTCTGCGAGCGATGTCAACACATGTTGGAAAGTCCGGGTGGTGGCTCACTCTTGGACAGGGAAACTTTGTGTGGACTCGCAGCTTCGCGCAACCTTGCGGGGCTGGCAGCTGGGTGACTACAACTTTGAAAGCTTGGAGGTGCACGTGACGGTTACCACCAAAGGACGCATGAAATCCGACATTTTTGGTTGAAACGGCAAGGATTGGAGAGGTCAAGACCTTTCCTGCGCAAACGCGCAAAAGTCGAAATTTAGAAACATCTCGCGCTGCAAAGCAAGGTCGAGCTGGGATGGCACTTCATGGCAAAGAGCGGTCGATGAGGGGTGTGCATCTTGGCCACGATTTGTCTTCATGCAGCCCTGTGACAACCCTGATCTAACCTGCGCTGGGGGCACAAAGGCGCGTGATTGTTCGGATCGATCAAAAAACAAACTTGTTTCAGTTCAAAAACCATTTGGTTGACATGCTCAGTCAACAATCGCTGATTGCATATCCGGATTTCCAGTGATGTCCTTTCATTTTCTGCTGATTCCCGCTGAAATCAATGCTTCCGTTTATGTGTTCCTAAAAAACCGGCGCAAATCAATGCGAACGCCGTGTCGCACAGCAGCGCGAACCTGTGTGAAACCATGCCGATTGGTGCGAAGCGGGGCGAAGCGGTGCGAAGCGGGGCAAAGCGGGGCAAAGCGGTGCGAGGCGGAGCCAGGCGGTGCGAGGCGGTGCAAGGCGGCGCGGAATGGCTCGCCGCAAATGACTGCTACAGTACAACTACGACCACAATGAGGTGACAGGGTATGTGTCCAGCTTGAGACAATGTCGAGCCTGGCCGGCTCCAGCGTCTGACGCATTCGAACCAGCTCGATCGCCAATTGAACACCTCCAGCGCGCGAAGGAAATGATCGCATTCGACATGCTCGGACGTTGGCCACAGGGACGCCAAAATTAAACTTGAGGGTCCCGAAGCTCAAGTGCTTCCAAGAGTCTCTTCTGCAATCCTCGGCACAATATTCCGCATGCAGGCAGTGGGTGTGTCTTTTTCTGGGGGATCCGAAACTGTGGCATTGCACATGTTTGCTGTATTGTGATCTGCTTGTGCACAAGTCTGTATCTAGTGTTTGCACTTGCCCTGCTTCTGTTGAGCTCCTTTTGCTGATTTACAATTTCAGAAGGACATAATTCAGAGGTCCAAATACCTAGCCCACAGTTGTTTGCACTTGATTCGCTTCTGTCGAGATCTTTCTGCGTAAGTTGAAATTAAATGTCAATTGGTTTGTAAGGACATGATATTTGAAAGCAATTCCTGTGTACATGCTAGTTTGAAATAGAACAAACCTTATTGTAAAATCTAATTTGGAAAGGAAAACCTGATTGGAGTCTGTCCCTGTTAAAGTCCATTTGAAGTCAAATAGAGTGTTGGTAGAAGTTTGATTAAACAAATGTCAAGTATAACTTCATAATGAAAGGATTCAGAGGTCTCAAAGTCGTGTTTGTGTGTGTGTTTTTATTATTTTTTTAACCTAGCCCCCAGTACTATATGGATAGTTAAAAAGCAATATAACACGCGGTGTTTTTGCAGCGTTGCTCACGTCTCTAACATTCATAGTTTGAATAAAAATCAGATAAGACTCCATAAGGCTTTGAGAAAATGCTTGCTCCGACTCCTATTGGAAGTTCTACCTTGAGTTTGGAATTTAGCTTGCCAAATAGAACTTTACAACTCAATTTGAGTTTAGATCGAGTTTTGATTTCCACTCGTATTTGTGCTGAAAGTTTGAATCAAATCGGAAATACTATACTTCAAATTAGAACTTGTATGCATAGTACGCGGGATGTCCTGTCGAATGGAGTGCTATCTACAAATCAGCTTTTTTTTATATTTTAAAGAGAGAGAGAGAGAGAGAGTTCAGCTCGAATTTCTATTTTAAACTGGACTTAAGTAGGAATGTCTTTCCTTAAGCAAAGCTCCTTTGGATCAGCCGTGCCCCAAAGCCAAACACGCAAAAAACACCTTGATAAAACCAAAACAACCAAAGGCAAACAAGGAAAAACAAAAGAAACCCAATCAATTGCAGAACTATTGGCACAGGGAGTGGCATTTCTAGAAAGAATGTCTGCGGATTGATTGTTTTGTGTGTGTTTTGTGTTGCTGTTTTTGTGTTTGGTTTTCTCTATATTTGTTTGCTTTGTTTTGTTTGCTTTGGGCAGGGCTGGTCCATTGGAAAGGCTGTCTGAGAGCTGTGTTGGCTTTGTTGTGTTCTTGGCTTTGTTGTTTTGTATATAGTTGTTCTTTGCGTTTGGAACAGAGGAATGCATTACGACAGCTAAAAAGACAGAAATTGACAAACATCCCTCAATAAAAGCAAACACACACGCAATGTACACAGGCCCTAAACAACACACCGAAAGTGCAATGCAAGAGTCCCCTGTTCTGAAAAAACAAGGGTGGTGTTCCTTCTGGTCAAAAATGGAGTTATTTTACCACGGAAAAGAAAGCCCATGCCCCCCTGTCAGAGGTGCTCTCCCAGCGAGTTGACCCGGCTGAGGTTGGGGGACTCGGACAGGAATGTGCCGCGATCGCCGCGATCACGTTCATGCAGCCTGCAAAGCGCCATTGGAGACAAGAATCTGTTTGTTTTTAGGGACTCCCAAAATGCTGGTTTCTTTTTGAGTTCCCTCTAGAACTGCAGAAAAGGAGGTACCGACTCCAAAAAAGAGACACCCCCGTTCCAAGCACACTGAGCCGCGGACGAAGGGGACTTCCACATCTGCATCAGCGCCTCACGGGAGTTGCTATGGATTTCACAACGTTGAAGGTGCCAAGGACCCTCTACAGCAGCAGTCCGATTTTTGCCTCGCAGCCGGGCTCTGAGGCGGCTTCACTTCACTTCGAAGTCTCCAGCCAGTCAGCTGAACAGGCATGATCCTCATCGCCCTCAAGCTCAGCAAGAGGGTGGATAGCCAGCCACTCCTCAAGTTTCAGCTTCAATTGAAACCGCAGTCATGTGGTGGGTTTGGCCAAATAGTGCCCTCGCATGCTGTTTTCCTTTCTGCTTTTGCTTTTTGTGCTGTTTTTTTTTCGCTGAGCAGTAAAAAAGTCGACTGCATCTCTACCAGGCTGTCCTGCGGCATTGGGGCGGCGATGTGGACCATTTCCCAGGGCCGAAAGGGGTCAGGCATCTCCAGCTCGAAGAGCTGCATGGTCAAAGAACCTAACGCCAGACATACATTTCTGTCATAGCTTCTTGTGCGTGCTGGCCTGGAATGGCCGAAGTCATGTCTTCCAGGCTCTTTGCTGACCTGCTCGCTTCCCGATACAGAGGATGATACACCGGATCGAACCTAAGCAAAGCAGGGCAGTTGCCAAGCTGGGGTTGGAGTGTAGGGCCAGTTCCGAGTACACATATATACATACACAAGACATACGCACATCTGCCCATCTGCCTGTGCCAAGGAACATGACAGGAGCACCAGCCGAAGCGAAGCTGCGTCTAACCTGGCGCGCCGCCTTTGTGGAAGGCCTTGCTGAGACCAGGTATAGCGCCTGCAGTTGCAGGGCCCAATACGCTCCAAGCTTGTGAACCCTTTCCCAAGTGTTGCTTGATTTTAGTTCCGCAAAAAAAAATGGGCAATGCCCGTCTGAACGCAGCTTGAGCAATGCAAGAAGCTGCCTGCTGACAAGGTGCTGTCCTTATGTTTGCGCTCGGGCAGGCCAAAGGCCCTGAGCATATGCCATCGGGAAACGCGAAAAAGTGCGGGAAATTTGACAAGACGCCGCTGTAGAGCTCGAACGGAAAGGTCTCGGCATCTGTGCCTGTTAGTTCTCCCTTTTGGGCAAAAACCAAACACAATGGCATGAAACGTAGTGGATGCACGGTCACCGACGGCTGCCTTCTGCCCGAAGTTGCCCAGACTCCACCAACTCGGCAGTGCCAATGATCTCTCCAGGGGATGCCACATCTGCCAGCAGCCGGTAGCGGCACCGCACCAGCCCACGGCGCCTGGGCTTCAGTCAGGGTGCTCGTTTTGATGATCTCGCCCCACAAAACGTACAACAAGTTTGTAGAATTGCAGCGAAGCACAGAGTTTCATCGAAGGACTTTCTCATCGCATCATCCGTGGTCACCTGCCGCAGGGGGGGAGACCGCACTGTCTGGACCTTCTCCATGATAGACCATGCGCAGACCACATGTGCACAATGCATCGTGAGACCGTTCAAGACAACTAAGTGTCTAAGCCTCGTGCAACTACCAAACCTTCTGCATCCCTCTCCGGCTTCACGGGGAAGGACATGGAGCCTCACACAGCATGTCTTCCTTCAACTGTGTGTCTGTGTGTCTGTGTGTCTGTGTGTCCATCGTTGCTTCGCCGCACTCCACTGCGCCCACGACCCCGCACTCCAGAAGCTGCCGAGCAGCGGCCCTCCGGAAGGAACGGCGTCAGCGTAGCTTCCAGCGAGGGCAACGGGTGCGCAGCGGCGCCAGCAAAGCCTGGGGGCTTGAGCGCCACGCACCAGCGCTCCCGGAGGGAGCCCAGCCTGCGTGTGAGGGGAACCTGCAGCTTCTGCTGCCGCTTCCCACTCACAAAGTGTCAAACTTCACGGCACTAGTTCCCGCAACTCGAATAAGATTGGGCGAGGTTTGATGGTAGTGTCATCAAAAGGCTTTTCACTGACAGATTGAGGCGTGTTGCTGCCAAATCGCAATATTGGCACATGCAGCCGGCCGAATGTTCCCATGCTGGGTTGCGGCTGGCATGCCCCAGCACTGCTGCGCAGGCTACAGAATGGGCCGCGCCATGGAACTAGCGAACTGGGCAACCTACTGTACTTGATGGTTGACTTGGCATGTGCGAGCTACCTGCAGGCTGGCAGAGCATGGTGGGACCGCCGGGCAAAGCTTGCTTTCAATGAATCGTCTCAGGCCGAAATCCTGTCGAGCCTGGAGATACACAAGCTTATCTCAGACACAGAAACCACGATGTTGCATGGAAGTCAGGTCCCTTGCCAAGCCTGTAGGTCGACATCAGACTCGGTAGCGTGAAAAGGCAACGACATCAGCTCCTCGCCCAGGAGAGGAAACGAGAGGGAGGGAGAGAGAGACTGACAGAGATGCAGAGAGAGAGAGAGAGAGAGAGAGAGAGAGAGAGCGACAGCGAGCGAGAGAGGGTGAGGGAGAGGAAGATGGAGATGGAGAGGAGAGAGCGAGACAAAAAGAGAGAGAGAGAGAGACAAAAAGAGAGAGAGAGAGAGAGAGGGAGCGAGAGACGCAGGGAGAGAGAGAGAGAGAGAGACGGAGAGAGATTGAGAGAGAGAGGTGGAGAACGAGAGATGGCGAGAGAGAGAGAGAGAGAGACTGAAAGAGATGGAGAGCGAGAGACGGAGAGAGAGACAGAGAGAGAGAGAGAGAGACTGAAAGAGATGGAGAGCGAGAGACGGAGAGAGAGGGAGAGAGAGAGAGAGAGAGATTGAGAGAGAGATGGAGACCGAGAGATGGAAAGAGAGAGGAGAGAAAGACAGAGAGAGAGAGAGGGAGAAAGACACAGACGGAAAGAAAGAGATTGAGAGAGATGGAGAGCGAGAAATGGAGAGCGAGAGATGGAGAGAGAGAGAGAGAGATGGAGAGAGAGAGAGAGAGAGAGAGAGAGAGAGAGAGAGATAGAGAGAGAGAGAGGGAGCGAGGGAGGGAGGGGGGAGAGGAAAAGAAGAGCGAGAGAGAGAGAGAGAGAGAGAGAGAGAGAGAAGAGTGAGTGAGAGTGAAGGAGGAGGAAAGCAAAAGGACAAGCAGAAAGACGACAAAGGAAGAATATACTATACCATTCACTGCCTCGCATGCTGCAAAAAGCGGATGACAAGCACACTCCATTCCAAATGGGCAGTGTCTACAATTCTGCAGCTTCTCGTCCTTGTTGTTTGTAGGGCCTCAAGATTGCCACGGATCACTTGTTGTTTTTTGCAATCTCTCAACTCAAGCATGCCTGGCCTAGGGGAACATCCAGGTGGGAACGAAGGAGACTCTCTGCTTCGTTGGATTTGGTCGTCAGCTCAAAAGTGTCGGTGATGTGTCCCTGCCAGGCTGGAAGGGTTGATCACAAGCAAAGCAGCTCTTGGCAAGCCGTGTTGTGCTGAAGCAAGCACACCAAATGAGTTCGTACCAGCGCGCCTCTGATGTAGAGATCGTCGCCGTCACGATGCCTCAAACGAAGCATACATGTGGAGGATAGACAGCTGTGCAAATCCGGCTCATGGCTTCCCAACGCTTGCGCAAAGGTGCTGAATCCGCAGCGGTAGAGGACATAGGCCGTATAGGTCAACAGCCCTGCCTGGCAGATTTCCGGGCTGAAGGGAGGAAAGGTGGTGTGGCACTGTAGATGGGCAAAATCCTGCACCTAAGAAAGCCTGGAATGACGATCCGCCTTTCCAACAAACACTGGCTTCCCATGGTTCCAAAGCGGTGCAGGATTTCGTCCATTCACGGCAGCTCTACATTGGAGCACCTCAGGTCCCACCTGGTTGATCCCCTCCAAAACCAGACTATAGCGCAGCTCATCCCTTGGCAACCACGTGCATTGCCACCCCCTAGGCTCCCGAAGACTAAGTCAGCAGCGTCTGACCCGGATGTTCCACAAAACTCACAACCTCGGCATGGTCACTGACCTGCACCATGCTAACTAACCGCTGCAGCAAACGGAAAAACGATTCAAACAAAAGAAGGGAGAAAAAAAAAGAAAGGGGGAGAAAAAAAAAGAAAGAAAAAAAAAGAAGAAGAAAAAAACATGAAACATGGGCATCTGCATGAAAATCCATGAAAGCCCGTGGACATTCGAATTTCTGCTAATGGCCCGCTGCAACCTGGCGGCGCTGACCAAGTCCGGGTTCACCGAGAGGCGCTTCGAGACCGAAGCAAGCGAGTGCTCAAAGGCGGGGCCTCTGCGCTTCGGATGCCACGCATCGGATTTTGCCAGGCAACCCTCCCCAGTTCAACCTGAAGATCGGAGGGTTTCGAACTGCTGTAACTGGGGGAAGCCCCCACTTTTCCGTTTGGAGCCCCCAAACACACCACCCGCCCCCCCCAAAGCAAAACTGGTCTACTTTAGCCTTTCCCCAACAAACCCGGTGTGTTTTGGGGGGTCCCCTTCACAGGGGTGCGACAAAACGTCCACTGCGCATTCCCAGCCGGATGTCCTCGCGTCTTCTCCAACAACTCCTCCAGCTCTCGGCACCTCGTCGTTTGGCAAGCGATGAAAGGAATGTACCAAGGAGCGCAAAAAAGCTTCAACAAGACCTACGTGTGGTGCAAAGAGATATCTACACATAAGTTACATACAAATATACAAGTGTATATATATATATATATAATATACAGGTCTAGATACATATTGTTATGTATAATTTCATGTATAATCTTGAGAGGGGCGCACGGGTTGTTTTTCCGCAAAGACTCCGTAGAACGGGAGCCAGCCAAAACCTGAAGCTTTTTCCTAGCCCACTTTACGAGCCCAACATAGCACGGTCTTTTAGGCGCCTGGGAGCCGGAATGGCAAAGGCGGGAGGCCCCTCGGCCTAAACCCGCCAAGAGGCGTCAGAGATCTGTGGGATTTGAGGGCCAAGCCAGATTCAGATGATCTCCCGGCACGGACATGGCCAGTGACAAAGGCTAAACACTGCGGCCGCCCGGCTTGGTGATGGACATCTACACGAAGGTCAGGCTCTACGCCGAGGTGAAGGACACGGACATTGGCGTGATGGCCGAGCCCTGCGGGCCGGCGATGCACAAAAGCAGCAACATGAAGGTCAAGCTCCATGGGGCAACGGCATGGAGGCCGAGCACTGCGGCCAACGCTCAACGGATTGACGGAGGTGCTCGGCAGTTGCGGAGGGGTCGAACGCAACATGTCGAGGGGAGGGGGATCATTTTCGAACACCGATTTTGGATCATTTTCGAACACCGATGTCCTGGATCATTTTCGAACACAGAGTGGGTCATTTTCGAACACATGGGGGGGGCTATCCTGCGGCACCCGTGGGGTTGGGGTGGGGGGTGGGGTGGGGCAGTTACGCTCGCCTCTTACTGCGTGACCGTGCCACTGCGTCCTGGGGTGGGGGTGGGGGTGGGTTTGGGGCAGTTACGTTCGCCTCTTACTGCGTGCCCGTGCAACTGCGCCCTGGGGCTGGGGGAAGGGGGCAACCAGGAGGCTCCGAGTCCCAAGTTACCTTGGCTTTGTGAGCTAAGATGTCCTCGGCGACTTGCGCTCGTTGGCCCTCGTAAAGCCGTGAAAACTCGGCCTAACGGCCGTAACAACTCATGCGGGAAGCTGAAAGTCCGTCACTACTCCGTGAAAAAGCCGTGAAAACTCGTGAAATTTCAAGCTCTGAGTTATCTTGTCCTCGCGACACAAAGAACATCCTTAGCTCATACGGCCTAAGTAACTTGCGAGTCGGAGCCTCCTGGAATTGCGATAGCGCTTACTGCGTGGCGGCGCAACTGCGTATTGGGGCTGGGGGGGGGTGGGGTGGGGCAGTTAAAAGCTTCTTGCTGCGTGACCGTGCGACTGCGTCCTGGGGCTGGGGGGATGGGGCGGGGCAGTTACGTTCGCTTCTTACTGCGTGACCGTGCGACTGCGCGCTGGTGGTGATGGTGGTGTTGTTGGTAGTGATGATGACGATGTTGATGATGCTGGTCATGATGATGATGATGATGATGATGATGATGATGTTGACGATGTTGTTGATGATGATGATGATGACGGTGATGATATTGATGATGATGGTGATGAGGATGTCGATGGCGATGACTTTGATGATGTCGATGATTATGGTGATGTCGACGTTGATGTTGATAATGGTGATGATGTTGTTCATGATGATGATGATGATGGTGATGATGTTTGATGATGATGATGATGAAGATGTTGTGGTGATGTTGATGATGGTGATGATGATGTTGGTGGTGATGTTGATGATGGTGATGTTGTTGGTAATCATGATGACGATGTTGATGTTGATGTTGATGGTGATGGTGATGGCGATGGTGATGGTGATGGTGATGGTGATGATGATGGTGATGGTGGTGATGATGATGATGATGATGATGATGATGATGATGTCGCTTTGCGTTCCTTGTGCTTTGCTTTCCCGGGTCTACAGTTGACGATTGTCTCCCAAAAGCACGGCGCCATTTGTGTGCTACACGTGCATCGTGGTGCGTGTTCGTGCGCCTCATCGTGGTGTGCATGGACACTTGGAAAAAATGGCCGTGCTGCTGTAAATCACATACACTTGAGCAACACCGCGTTCAAAAACGAGCCAAAACACGCGTTCAAAAACGAGCACCTTCCCCATGTCGAGCCCTATGGCAGCGGCAAGGTGATGGTTCGGTTCGGAACATCGGCGAGGAGGTTGACTAGATGAGGAACGCGCAGAAGAACGGAGTGGGAAACTGGTCGGGGATTTGCACTGCATCTGGAACAGCGAGCTGAAGATGTGGATGCCTCAGCGGGCTTGGCGGTGGCAGAATGGGAGGAGCTGCCGATGAGGCT